GACAAATATAAAATTAAGATCTGCTTGTTATGATACCCAACAATTAACAATGGACTGTATTAAAAGCAAATCTACTTTAGTTGATGATATTGAGAAAATCAAAAAACAAAAATTAAATGCTGAAGAAAAAACAAATGGAGCACATAATGTAGTACTCCCAACTGTTACTGGCTTCGCTTCTGATACTCCTCGTATAACTGTTTCATACCACGAGTGGGGCAGTCTTGTGCTTCCTCGTCGATCATTTTATGGTTCAGCCGTTCACTGTGGAACTAGAGATGCTGGGGATGCCAAAGAATTTTTCCAAATTGGTTGTGGGAAGATAATGACGATGGGAGATAGAAGTGAGACAGAACTTTCTCCATTGAAGTCTCAACAATTGATTGACGCGCGTAAACAAATCGGTTTGGGACTTGTACTTGAGTCGAATGATGATGGAGAGTTATTCTTGACAAGGTTTTTTATTTAGTTTAAAATTGTTTTAATAATACTGGTGTAGATTAGGCATATTTTAGCTTCATATGAAAAATATTTGGGTTTCCTCGATCCTTTAGGACAATAATGAGATAATTGCTGTGACTTATGTTTGACCAAAAATTAATATGATTAACATTTTTTATCTTCAGTTATGCACGTCGACCGCTGCTTGTTCAGAGCTATTATCTTGATCGGGTTTTCTTAAAATTTGTCCTTATTTTAATTTAAAATTTCTAGGAGGCTATGCGTTCAGCAATGGATGCAGAAAGGATCAAGCATACTATTTTTCCTAAGGCTACAATCAAAATCTTCGATTTGTGGCAGTCATTTAGACTAATGTGTCAATTACGTGTTCAAAAAAGACGTAATTCTTCTGTTGATGGTATGCCAGGAATCTGTCAGGTAATTTTTAATATTTAGAATAATATGAAAATATACATTACACTTAAGGATTCGTTTACCTTTCTTAATCGCCTTTGCGATGTTCGTATTTCGTTTGGTGTTCAACATTCACATAACTTTGTGGACGAAGGCGATGGTTGTGATCTGTTGGAATCATCTCCTTGCTCAATGGAAATTCATATGGGCCGGTTGGTATAATCAATTAATTAATTACTCTATTGTATTTTTAGAGCCAAACGCATTTTGGAGAAACTCATTGAGCGTCCTGAACTGGCACATCGATTTTCAGTTGGAAACAATACAGGAGTCAGACCGGTCAAAAAGTTTGTAGACGGAATTGGAACCAGTGTTTAAAAACAGCATTTTTTGAACAAAGGTTGATTAAAAGAATATAGCCGCTTTCTAAATAATTAACGGAACAAGTAGAAACAGGGGTTCGGATAATTTGTTTATTTGTGTCTGACATGAATCTTATCGAAACATTCGAACGTTTAGGAATTTTATGACAGTTAGTTTGAAGCTGCTATATTTTTGTTGACCTTCGTTCAAAAGGTTAAATAATGAAATAATTAAAAATTTCCCGGTCTATCATATTAATTAATCCCCAGACATTGTTGTATAGTCTTCTTATTTAGTCATTTCACCTCTACCTACCTACAATCTTTAACTTATGCAGTTACAATTTGTTTTGGTTATATTTAACAAAAGGGGATGTTCTATTCAGTGTCTTTATTTTCTGAACATGACACACACATCTATGTTCAATATTTTGGACTGAATAGAACATCCTTGTTTTATAGATGTCAGTTTTATGCCCTGCCATTATTCAAAAACGAAAATTTAACTTATCCTAAGTAAAGGCAAGACACATGTTTGATAACTAATTTTAACCATCCACATGAACAAATTTAGCTAAAATAATGTTATCAGTGCATTTAGTAACTATTATTTGTTAGATTTATGAGGGATATTTTGTTGCACTGATAAAATTTCACAAATATTTAAGAATCCTATTTTTGTTGGCAATTTATTAACCTTTTCTTTTATCCTTTTTTTAGCATCTTCATAATTTTTTACTGTACACATGATTATCTTTTATCTCGTTTTTTTCACATTTTCTTTTTCCAAAAAAGGACGCATTTGGTTTTCTTGTTTTTTTAAATCAAAACTACAATATAGAAATACCTGTTTTTTGCTAAAGATAATAATTATTTCAGTAATACAAAGTAGAAAATTTGATAAGAAAACTAAGTGCATTTTGTATTTCTACTACACTTCCAAACCCCGAAGAGTAAATTGATCTCTGCCTACCAGTGATTAGAAAATATAACCCGGTTCCTATTCTAATTTCCTCGTAAACTGATTTAAACTTTTCTCGTACTCTATTTAATTCGCGGTTAATGTAAAATTTTTCAACTACTAATGTGAAATGATAATTTGATAAACTTTTGAACCTTTGATTGTTGCTTTAGAATAAATTCTAAGGTGTAATCATAAATTGTTAATTTTTGGGACTCAATGAACCGGTTGAACTGACCAAAAATCTTATTATCTCAGAGGAAAAGGTAAGTGCGAAGGAAGCCTGACTTCACATTCAACAAGACGTCGGCCGTCTTGAGCGAAGCGAGTGATGGGAAAAAATCGTTGGTCAAATTCTGCACGAGTTGATTTAATTTTGTTGATTTAAGCATTTTAGAATAGGAAAATAAAATTTTTAAGTTTTCATCAGAAATTCACACCCATGTCGATGGTGGTTGTTCCAACTTGGGGAGAGTTATTCATACTATTGAGTAAATTGTTCCGACAGCATGGAATGTTGTTCCAAGAACGGTGAAAATTGTTCTAAAGACGGGGAAAGTTGTTCCTAGACGGGGAAATTCAACCAGCGGGACTCAACCGGCCGGGTTACTCAACTCAATTGAACTCAAACGGCGGTACTCAATATGCGGTACTCAATGATACTCCACCGCTCTAAACTGGCTTAGGACTTCGCTGCCCGCTCTCAACTGGCAACACTCACTCTATTTCTATTAATCGATCTGAGATTTCTACAAATACTTAAGGGATCTGATTTTTCTCATTTACATATCTTTTGATAATTAAATTAATCCATAATTTTAGAAACTATCTTTTTACTTTTCTAGACCGATACAATGGTTGCCAAAAAATTAAAAGTTGAAAAGAAAGGGAAGAGCTCGCTGAATAAAGTGGTTACTCGTGAGTACACCATCCATCTGCACAAGCGCATCCATGGAATGTATGTTTTATTAATTTTAGGTATTACTGCCATTTCCCCTCATAGAATAGATATGAGGAGAGGATACGTATCTATTTCATTAACGTTCCGTATCCCCTCCTCATTTCGATTCGCCATGGATTAAATTTAACAAATTATGGGCAATTAATTAGCCCAGTCAACTGGGGGAATGCAGTAGTACTTGGAAGTAGTACCTCTTGTTTTTTAATTGTCTTAAAAATAAAATTTAAGTGGATTCAAGTACCGTGCACCTCGAGCTATAAAGGAGGTCAAGAAATTTGCAGAACAACAAATGGGCACTCCTGATGTCCGTGTTGATACGCGTCTCAACAAGTTTTTATGGTCGAAGGGAATTCGGTATTTTTATTAGTTTATTAAGTATTTTACAAAGAAATTTTCAGTAACGTTCCGTATCGTGTTCGAGTTCGTCTCTCGCGACGCAGGAATGATGACGAAGATTCGCCACACAAACTTTATACTTTGGTGACCCATGTTCCAGTGACTAGCTTCAAACGTCTGACAACAGTGAACGTTGATAGCGAGGATTGAAAAATTGATTGAATGTTCGCTTTGTGTTGTTAAAATATAAAAAAACTGTTGAAAAATAAAAAATTTTTTGTGAATTGTTAATTTAGGGCAGGGCTATTTTTGGAAATAATAACTACTTATAAATGGACTTTTAGGTTAAAAATTAAATTTAACTGTAAAATTCTCAAAATTTTCGCCTGCGGCCCTGAAAAACTCGTCTGGGAAAGAAACATATAGTTGACTGGAAAGAAATATATAGTTGACTTGAGTTTGAATAAGGTTTTAAATTTTATTTTCGTAGCGACTTTTATTTTGAAGATTCCCTCTATGTACTTTTGTAATTTAACATTTCTCTAATGGAAGCCCTAATTTAGGACAGGTCAGACTCCTAAATTGTTTTGTATTCGACCACAGACACTTCATAATCGATAATCAAATCAAAAGATTTAGTAGTGAATATTTATTTTTAACAAATGAAAGAAAATTAAACATAAAAAGAACATCCAAAAAAACAAAAAAAAATTCAATTTATTTTATAAATTTTTCAAAATTTTTTATCTTCTAGTCCATAAGCCTGTATGTGTCACTTTTAACTTTGTATGTCCCATCTTCAAGAATAAGAACCAAAGATTGATTATAAGCATGTGTTAACCCTCCAATAGTAACTTTTCCCATTGAAAGGACAACAATAGACATGTCATCACTTGTTGGGTCAATTCTGGAATTTATACAAATTATTTGTGCATATTAAAAAGGCTATTTAAATCTGAAAATCATACCGATGCGCATCTAAGCAGATTACTCTGAAAATTAATAAAATGAGTGCGGAAGTGAAATAGGGCATGTCTCAGGGTATTTTGTTTTGTATTTAACAACAAAATACCCTCCCCCCTAAATTTATAAAATTAAAATACTCGTGTTGTGTAGATGGCAGATTATCCCAAAATGAGCCAATTTCCGTTAAGCCACTATAACAATTTCCATTCCATATCAATTGTGGCCCACTGGAGCTGTATAAATTAATTATTTTGTTTCGACGCAAATCTGCCAATTCTGTATATAATCGAACAAGTTTGTCGGCATCAGCACAAACCTCTTGGTCTAATTTAACTTTAGAAGAAATTGAAGAACTCATTTACTTTTCTGTAATGAATTTCTAATAACGAATTTCTCAATTTTTAAAATATTTAATTAACATTTTAAATACAAAAATTTAAATTGTGCACAAAACAAACAAACAATTTATTTATCCAAATATTCCCTATACATAATTGTCTTTTAAATATTACCAAAAAATTTTCTTCTTCTAATTTTATTTTTCCTTCAAATAATATTCCTAATCCTTCCAACGATTGTTCTCGTAGTCGTAATAAGCAGCAGGCCCAAGGAAGCGTCCTTTCTCCATAACCAATTTCTTTTCAATGACACTCTCCTGTAAAAATAAGTATAAATTTATGAAAACAATTGCCAGGAAAAAAATAAAAAAAACCTTAAATTCATTCTCCAGCGTTGGTAACGATGGAGGATAACCTAAAATAAAATTAAAAAAAAAATTATAAAATAGGTAAGTATTTACAGTAGTAAGAAAGGAAGCATCCATATAATAATGCCAAACCGCAACCAGCTAATGTAATTGCGACAGGAAGTTTCCAATACCCATCTGGAGCCTCATATTCAGAAAGTGTCTGACAAAAAGAATATCGGTACAGCAATTTCTTCTCATCCACAGACAATTGCTTCCAATCCCCCAATTCCTTCTCGCGAATTGGCGATACAATTTCGTCATTCCGTCGAAAACGAATTGCCGGATACCAAAAATCGGCACGGTCCTCGTAGAACTAAAAAAATAAAATCTAGTTTAGAATAACAATGATTTTTAATATGTAATAGTGAAGTTTTCTGAACCCCATCAATTTTCACCTAAACACCTTTAAAATTTTATTTATTTTTTGGCTATCTAAATAAAGTCAAGTCACGACTGAATGCAAAAAAAGAATGATTTTGAACGAAATATAATAAAGAATAAAAACAAACCTCGTCACCTTTCACACCCCAACCAACAACTTCACGTCCTTGAATTTTTTCTGGACCCCACCAATTGTGCATACGAACATGAGCGCCATTCAGGACATTTGTCGTGCTGAAACTACAACTACGCATAACTTTTGTCGAATGAATTAATTTTAGAACAGAACCAACCATTTTTAAAATAACTAAATAAAGAAATTAAAAGAAAACATTCGTTCTCAGCAGAATAGGCTTGCGACAAAGTAGCTTATTAGCAACGCGCGAAAAACATTGTTAATAAGAAGAGTCCTAGATTCTAGATCCAAAAAATCGAGAAATAGGCTCCTATTTTATGCTTTTATGTGCCAAAATAGGTTCAAATTTTGGGTTAGTGATAAAATAAAAAGATTTTTGAAAAAATCATAAAAATTCGACAATGGTAAAAAATCCGACATAATGATACTTAACAGAAATCCGACAAAATGATACATTACCAGAAATCCGACAAAATGATACTTAACAGAAATCCGACATAATGATATCTCTCATATAAAAATTTTTTTTAAATATGGGGTTTTCACCATTTTCTAACCTAAAATTCAATTTCAGACGGAAATCAAATATTTCTTCTTTCAAACATTGTCGAATGACGGATTCTCGATTGAACAAATTACGCGAGCTTCTCGAGTCACGTAATCGGATACTTCGATCAGAGGCTATATCAATGCTTACACAATATGCACCCATTTCTAGCCAACAGGTTTTTTTCTTTAACATTAATTATTCTTTGTTGGGCTATTTTATGTTTAATATTGTTGGGGTTATAAATTTTTGAAAAAACGTTCTTTTTCAAAATTTTAGCGAAGGTTTTGGACTTACAAACTTTTTATTTTTAGTCAATAATCTATTCATGGGATCAACTTTTTGATATTGTGGCACAATGCTTTCGCAGTTCTTTGTGGTATTTATTTTTATAAAAAAAATAATTTAAATTTTCAACAAATATTTAGGGAATGCCGGGTTGCTTCGGCAGAACTTGTTGCTGCTCTTCTTTTAAGTGCTGATAATGCATTTTATGAAAAATTTGAATTGTTGTCAAAAGACAAAATGAAAGAATATTTTGATGAATGTGCAACATTAATTGAGAATTTGGATTTAAACAAAATTATTTCAAATTATAAAATGCTAGTTGGGTAGGTTTTTTTAAAATTTATTTTTTAGGATATTTAAACAAAATTTTTTAAAAATTTAAGATTCGAAGAGGAGAACGACACTTTAGTCGATAAAAACAATTCAACTGACATTAGTCTTCAACATAAGAAAAAGCAACGACAATTAATTGATTTACATTTGGATATGAATTCTGCTACTGGGGTTTCTTCAAGCACGTAATATTTATTTTTTAAAAATTTTAGTGTTAATATTTTCTTGGTACTCTCCTATTTTTTTTTGCTAAATGGATTTCTTTAAGTAAATTTTTCCTTTCACTCAACTGTTTTTTTATTTAAATATATATAAATTGTTTTTAAGATTTATTACCGATGACGAAATATCAACTTTGAGTGAAATTAAGGACACAAATTTAACTACAACAGATTCTCCAATTGTTTCTCATAGAGAGTTATACGAGGAGGTTATTAACAATGAATGTCCTTTTGTTGATACTTTTTCTCATAATTCTTTAAAATTTGGGCAACAAAAAATTAAAGATGAGCCAAGTTTGGATGATGTATCTGTCACTAATATTTCAACAATTAATGAACAAGAATGTAAATTATTTAAAGTTATTTTTATTAATTATTTTACATGTAGCTACTCTTCCTCTACAATTTTTAAAAAGTTTTTATGAATTTTTTCATTCTACTCTTCTCCGCGATTTAGTCAGTCCAAAATGGCAAACACGTCATGGAGCTTGTCTTGTTTTAACAAAAATTTGTAATCAGGCGAACAAATGGTATTTTAAATTTTTGTGGCTTTAATTAAATATTTTTTTTGAAAAATCTACTTTTATAAAGGCTGTTTCCGTATTCGAGCTTTCTCACTAAAGCTACCACTCGCCTACTTCATTTATTTTGTTTGGACCGTTTTTGTGATTTTGTAACCGGCAGCAATGTTGTTGCTCCAGTGCGGGAGGTTTTATATTTTTTATATTTATTTTAGGATTTAATTATTGTGCTCAATCAAAATAGAAATAACAAATAGTTAAGTGAAAGTAACTCTTGGATAATTTACTTACAAATTAATTTTTAATTAACCTAAAATTTTAGGCAGCTGCACAAGCACTTTCATTTATTTTGTTAAAATTGTGTGATAATGATAGTTTAAAAATCAAAAATGAAAACTATAAAGAAGAATTAGAGCCGTTTATGATTCGAGTTGGCTCAGCAATTTTAAACCAGATTTGCAATATGCTCCAAATAACAAGCGAACAGGTTTCTATTTTGAAATTCTATCAGTTTTTTCTGCTAGAATTTATAGTTTAACTTTCTTTTAAAGAATTGGCATTGTCGGCAAGGTGCATTGCTTGTTGCTAAATATCACTTTGCAGTGACTGCTTTTTCGCTGCCTTCAGATTACAAGTTGTTTGATCTCACATTGTTTGTTTTTTACTTCAAATATTTTGATATCTTATTTTAGTATTAATTTTTATTAAGGTGGGCTCTTGAACATGATCCTGTAGATGAGGTATTTTCTGACTAAAGAAAATTCTGATTAAAATTTAAAGATAATTTCTGCGGGGAGCCAGGCTATCTGTTCGTTTTTCTTAGCGGCTAACTCCGGAATAGCAAAGTTCAATGTTAATATTTTGTCTAAAATTCGTCAAGAAACTCTTCCGCGAATTTGGGGTATACTACAACATCCTGAACGATTGACACAGCTTCGCGAAGGTGTTGATTCTGTACTTGTCGATTTACTTGGTCTTCTCGAATTTTGGCTATCTACGGATAAGGTTTCATTTTTTAGTTAAGTATGTGTAATGTTGTGTAATGTTGCTCTTCTAATTTTCTATTTTGCAGGAAGAGAATCAAAGCACTTCACAATCTTTAGCTCAGCTTAGTGATAGTCAAGTAACACTATTAGTCGAGCTACTTGAATGCTCGCCGCAAACCTGCCCGACAGAACGAAATATAAAAGTTATGCAATGCCTTTGTTCAATTTTTAAGAACGATTCCTTAACTATAACTCCTGATGGCAAGCATATTTGGACTGAAAAGGTTTCATTCTTTTTTTTTTATAAGTTTCACTTGCTTTTTTCAGTTACTTTTCCAAACATTGAAACGACTTTATAGATGTGTTATTTTCTGTCCACCAAGTTCTGCTGAAATATTGTTGCCATCATGCCACACGACACTGTCATTGTTATTAGAATTTTTTCAGCGGCATATGGCTTTGACGTCAAATTTTAACAATTTACTTGGAAATGATCTTTCATTGAATATAGGTTACTACGAAATTATTTATTCTCCAAACATTTATCGTTCTAACTATTGTCAGGCCTCTGGATTAGCTGCCTTATGTACGATCACAAAAATCCTGAAATTGGTTTGTGTTTTATTTTTGAAATTTTTATTACTTCTAATAAGATTTATATTTAAGATGTATTTTTACATAATGTTGATGGATCTGACTCTCGACGAGACTTTCCTAAAGAATTATTGTGTGGGGAAGAATTACACTTTTTGGAAAGGAAACAAATTGATTTAGTTATTCTTTGACATATTTTATTTATACTTCATAAAATTTGGTAGGTTATCCTCGAGAGAAAAGCTATGGCTGCTCGATGGCTAGCGGTATGTTTTTGTTGTAATTATTAAATAAAATTATTTAATTACAGCCATTGATAAATACTCTCTTTCGATGGGGCTGCCCTATTGGGTTTGTTTTAAAAACATTTTTCAGTTTTTATTCAAAAAATTAAGTCAACAGCCAATGTTTATATCCGTCCAGCTATTATTCTTTCCATATTTACGCTCTAATTCATTATATCAAGTTTGTATTTTTGTTTCACCTACTATTAGTAAATAATTAATTTTTTCTAGAAGCTTGGGTCGGCACTTTTGGCTCAGGAATGGTCAAATGTTTATCAGAATTCACGGCACGGAAATTTTTCATCTGATAATCAATCAGTACCTGCCCCTGATATTTTAATCAAAGAATTATACGAGCAATTATCATGTAATTCAAATTCCAACAAGCTATTTGATGAGGTTTTTATTTATAATTCTGTCGTTAAAAATTTTTCTGAAAATTTTATATTTTATAGACAACCCAGTTGGTTAGTATATTAACTAAAGAGTGTAACGATTTCAAAGTGCGGTGATTTGGAATTATCCTTTAAATATAAAATTTTTGTTTTTAGCAATATTGTTTGCGAAAGGGTGTTCCTGCTTCCGAATTACTTCCACTAAATCAGGTAAAAATATATACGGCTTCCAAATGATTATTTTAAAATAGGTGACTTCTATGGAGGAAGCTATTAAGTAAGTAAACTTACATATTTCAGCGACTATATCTATTTATTTTATCTCTGCTTACCGTTCTTGTATACAGCGACTAGATCAAGCAGATGACTTGCGTGCATTATCGGCCAGATATGCGCTTATTGTTGAGCTTATTGAGGATACCAAATTGGCTACACGAACCTATTCGAGGTTATTTATATTAAATAACTGATTTTTAATACTATTATTAGCCGCATCAATGCTTTGTTTTCTTCCGCACTCATAAATTTCATGGAACAGCTACCTGTGCAATTAACTCCACTTATAAAGCCTTTAATGGATACAATAGAATCGGTTTGTTTGATTTTTTAAACTTTCTCTTTAAATTTTGATAAATATTTTTAATTAAAATTAATTTATAATTTATAGGAAAATAGTTCACACATTGCTAATTGTCACTTAGTTAATGCTTTTTCTACACTCATTGAGCGAACATCTAACAGGAAGCCATGCCCGCATTCTAAAATTTTACGTCAACTTATGTTGGGTCTGGGTCAATGTGATCAATGGTCACCTAAAGCTCTTAAATGGTTATCATTCTAAAATTATATAGAGTAAATATTTCTTTATAGGAATGAACAATCACTTCTTCATAAAATTATTAGCTTGGAACATTCAGAGTCATCATTTGGAGGTTTATTCCATAATTTTATATAATTTTTGTTTATTTCAGATCGGCCACTTGCCATTAAGACACGGAATTGTGTGAAAGTATTGAAGTTTATTTGTGAGAGATTTGGTTCGAAAATTGTTGAAATTTGTCCTGAGATGGTTAACGGGCACTTATGGGACATGGTCAAAGAAAACGATGATGGAGAGGTATTTTTTAAAATATAATAAAAGTATATTTATCTTCTTATTTAAGGAATTCCTACTTGTATTGGATTATTTTGGAGTTATATTTCCAGCAATTACTGATAAACAAATACGTCTTTCTTTAATTAAAGAAAGAATAGGTCCAAAAATTCCTCACATAATGGCATTATTAGTCAATACAAATCCTGCTATTCGATTTAGGGTAATTTTATAAAAAATATTATTTTTTGTCAGTTATCTGTTGTAGGTTGCCCGTTTTCTCTCGAATCTTACAGAAATTGAGTTATGTCCCATGTTGAGACTTTTCTTCCAGCCGCTTTCTGAAATGATATCAGGTTGAATTAATCTGAAAATTCGTGCATTATTTCTCTTTAGATAATGCTTCGACTTCTGTTGAATGGGCTATGTTAGGAGCATCAGAACTTTTGCTTAGGTTATCTACTATTGCTAGCAAATTGCTTGGTGCAATATCACTCATGTAAGGTTATTATTTATTTTTCTTTTTTACTTTTTATGTATCATCGAGTTAATTTTAAACGTTACATCAAAGTCTCATTTCATTTATGTAGCTTACGTCAAATTTTTTCAATTTATTCAATTTATTTCTTGTTATTTATAGATCTCTGTTGGCACTACGCTGTATTGGAGATCGAAATGAATCGGTATTCCAAATATTTTTGCTTTAATTTCTATTGTTTTTCATTTTTAGGTTCGAGCGGCTGCCGCCCTTGCCTTTCGTCAATTTGTTGCTTTGTTACCTTTAGAAAATGTATTATTTTATAATTTTGAACATAAGAAAAAATATTTTTTCTCTTCAAAAATATTGTATATATTTTCAGAGACAAAATCATTTTTTACACGAATTGTTTGATGATAACAAGTTGAATGACCAATCTGAGATGACGATGTTGCAGAATACATACATTAATTCTTTCTCTCTAGTTGATGTTCTTGGATGTCCGGGCAATTTGCCTAAGTTAAGACGTGATGAAATTCCATTTCTTGTTGATACATTGGATTTACGTGATTATCAGATTGAAGGTTTGGGAAACATTTTTTATATAAATACCGTAATATGCAGGTATTACATGGCTGACTTTTCTTAATCGGTTTGGTTTGAATGGAATTTTGGCTGATGACATGGGTTTGGAAAATTATATACACTCCTCCACAAAAGTATAAGGGCACCTGTATTTTCGCAATTTTTTTACTTCCAATGATCCAAATTTTCTGAAAATTTAGATACACACCTTTTAGTGAATAACTAACAAGATGTCAATAGATTTTTGGCTGATTTTTTATCTAAAAAATTTTTAGACCAAAATTTGCATTTTCGGCCTCCACAAAAGTATAGGGGCACTTTCAAAAAAGATATCTCCAAGATTGGGAAAAATCTACAAAAATTCTAGCAAAGATACATAATGATATTATAAAAAAATAAAAAAGAACTAGACCCATATCTTTTCCTGGAACCGAGATCATGAGACCTCAAAAATCAACGTAAAACAGGGGTAAGACTCTCTAAAAAAATTTTTCGACCCCTTATCGATTATTTTCAATTTTGATTTTGGGCTCATTCGAAAGCCCTTGAAATTTGCTACAAGATAGCAATATTCTTATCTTTCAGAAAAATTCCATAGAGATACACAAAACGATAATCTTTCTAATCATCATTAGAGGGCATTTTATGGGGCATTTAGACGTTTTTTGCTTAATCAGAATATTAACAGCCCGTATCTTTCTGATCGAATTTTCTATAAAATATCATTAATGCTATCTTGTAGCAAATTTCAAGGGCTTTCGAATGAGCCCAAAATCAAAATTGAAAATAATCGATAAGGGGTCGAAAAATTTTTTTAGAGAGTCTTACCCCTGTTTTACGTTGATTTTTGAGGTCTCATGATCTCGGTTCCAGAAAAAGATATGGGTCTAGTTCTTTTTTATTTTTTTATAATATCATTATGTATCTTTGCTAGAATTTTTGTAGATTTTTCCCAATCTTGGAGATATCTTTTTTGAAAGTGCCCCTATACTTTTGTGGAGGCCGAAAATGCAAATTTTGGTCTAAAAATTTTTTAGATAAAAAATCAGCCAAAAATCTATTGACATCTTGTTAGTTATTCACTAAAAGGTGTGTATCTAAATTTTCAGAAAATTTGGATCATTGGAAGTAAAAAAATTGCGAAAATACAGGTGCCCCTATACTTTTGTGGAGGAGTGTAGATATTCTATAATTAAAAATAAACATCTTTTAGGTTTGGGAAAGACGCTGCAGGTTCTTTCTTTACTTTCCTGGGACTATGTTCAAGTAAATATATTTTTTAAATTCTAAAGAAATTTTACAAATATTTAGCGGGTTAATCAAAACAGAAAAGTACAACATAAAGAGGGTCATTTGAAGTCTTCTTTAATTGTTTGTCCGCGCACTCTTGTAGATCATTGGTGTAAAGGTTTCTCTTCGTTTTGTTCTTGCTGGTATATTTTTTTAAATTTAGAATGGAGCTCATTCTTTCCGTCTTCACAGATTTCTATTCAAAAAGTTGCCAATTATAGAGAAAGTAGTGAGGGACGTGAACGTATTTTAGTTGTGTCTTACGAGGAATTGCGCTCTAATAAAGAGCTACGGTTAGTTTTTTTGTAATTTTTGAAAAGTTGATTTGTAAATTTTAAAGTGAATATTATTGGCACTATTTGGTACTTGATGAGGGTCATTGGTAACAATTTACAATTTATTATAGCTAAATTTATTTTTAGTATTCGTAACCCAGCTAGTCAATTATTTGAGTCTGTTTGTGCCGTTAAATGCTCTCATCGTCTTATATTATCTGGAACACCCGTGCAAAATTCACCTGCCGATCTTTGGGCATTATTTACGTTAGAGATTTATTTAAAATATTTTTTTAATTTTTAATATTTCAGATTTTTAATGCCTGGGTTTGTTTTTCATTTTATATTTTAATTAATTGTGGATTAAACGTTAATCATTATTTTAAATAGTTACCTTTCATCACGAGCCGCATTCCAATCGAAATATATGCGTCACATTTTAGCATGCAGAAATGCTCGGGCCAGCGAACAACAGATTAAGGTTCAATATTTTTAAATATACTCCCTTCTCTCGCAAATTGTTAACAATTAATTTTCAAAATCTGCCTAACTTTTTAATTCTTATTTTTCAGGAAGGAGAACAAGCTTTACAGTCTCTACATAAGCAATGTCTCCCTTTTGTATTACGTCGCTTAAAAGTAGTTTTTTTAAATTTTTTATTAAAGTTTTTTTTCTAAATAGGCGGAAGTACTGGCTGAATTACCAGAAAAGATTGTGCAGGACAGAGAATGTGAATTAACTGTGTTACAACGTAACCTTTACCAATTAATTGTTGATTGCTGCTCTTTGAATGCGCGTGATGTTGATACTGAATGTATTTAAATGCCATTTAAAATGATTATTTTTTCTTTTTAAGCAATTCAATGGCTGACACCAATTCAAGTATTACACGCACTTCGAAAACTTGTCGATCATCCTCTTTTGATTTCAAAGCTTATAAAGAGTTTAAAATGTGAGGACACTAATTACAATTATCTCGCAGAGCAGTGTATGCAATCGGTTTGTTTCGAATTCCCCTTTTTTAATTTTAAATATTAAATTTTTCAAGTTAAATATTTTTTTAGCATATTGAGCAATCAGGAAAGATGTTAGCTTTAAGAGAATTATTGAATGAATGTCAAATTGGAGAACGTTTCAGCGAATTTGATGTTAACTATTCTCGTAACAAAGGATTAGAGCACGAGCAAAAACTTGAACAAGGTTTTTTAAGCTAATTAAACGTTCAATTACTGCATAGTGTTACTTCTAAAAAACATAATATTATTAAATGTAAACGTAAAATTTTCAGTATCTAGCGCAACCTGTTATGAATCACAAAATTTTCTTTCTAATACAACACACAAAGCTCTTATTTTCTGTCAATGGCGTGCAACCATTGAGGTACTCCCTCACATGTAATAGCGAGAAATAAAATCTTTAAACATTTAGTTAATTTCACATTTTTTGAATCATGGGGAATTTGGTAGTGGAATTAACTTTCTTGTTTTGGATGGGCAAACACCTCCATCTCAGCGACAGTCAATTGTGGACCGCTTTAATACCGATCCAAACGTGCAACTGCTATTACTTACTACACATGTAAGCTTACTTTAGACTTTTGCATGACTTTTCTAGAAATCCGGAATTTCTAGAATATATTTGTTGTATTTTAACTTATTTGGAGGTCATTATAATTTGTATTTATGGTCCATAATTGGACAATTTAAAATTATTTTTTCCAATCCTCAGCGAGTAATTGATGCAAAAACATTAGAACATAATTTTAAAATTATTCATAGGTTGGTGGAATTGGTCTAAACCTGACTGGAGCTGATGTCGTTATATTTATGGACCATGACTGGAATCCATTCCGCGATCTACAAGCGATAGACAGGTACACTTATTTGTTAGGAAGGAATCTAGACATCTTAAATTAATAGGGCTCACCGACTTGGGCAAAAGCGGACGGTTAATGTGTTCAGGTTATTTAAATATTTATCTTTTAAATTATTTATTAGACTTATTACGCTTGGGACTGTTGAAGAAAAGGTTATGAGGCTACAAAAATTCAAAACGGACACTGCAAACGTGCGTAAACTTTTTTCAAATAAATATAATCTTTAAAAAACAGGCCCTCATTGGTGTGGAAAATCGTTCACTTTCTTCAATGGCAACTGATGATTTATTGGAGCTATTTTCATTAAAGAACCCTGGAACGAATTTAGACGTAAATGCAAAATTAAGTAACACAAAGAAAAAAAGTAGAATGAATTCAAATGCAAGTTGCTCATCTGAAAATGGTGTTTGGGCAGTTGATGAGCTTTGGGGGAATCAAAAAGAAGAGGAAGATACTGAATTCGAACAATATATTGAACAACACTCTGTTAAAAAATTCCTTTACTCAAACACCTAGCTGATTTAGAAAATTTCTAATTTTGTATATGATGTTGAATACATAAACGTTAAATGATTCAAAATTCTTTTAATTATTAGCTGCCAGAATTTCAATTTTTATAATCTACAATCTCGTGGTTTGGCAATGTCTACTTTGTATTTATTCTTTATCAATTATTGATTATTCACAAAAGAATTATCAGTATTTCTCCCTCAGTATTTATAATATTGACATAAACTGTCGTTACTTTCAGCTAACAAAAGAATTGGGCAATTCTCACATAATAAAATTCAATTTTATGTTAATTCTTTTCGATAACACGTATTCTTCAATTCCATTTAACATTTAAAAGTTGTGTTTAATATTCAATCAAAACTAATGTAATCGACAATCCCCTCTAAAACGTAAAAGAATGTTAAAATTTCGACAAGACGTTGCTCTCTCACCAGATAATTTTGAAGTAAATCGTAAATGCTCATTTTTTTCAAGCCAGGTCTTTAATTGTAATTAGTACATGTAATTGTACACTCATTTTTAGCTTGGTCATAGTAAAGCGACTATCATTCTCAACAACATAAGTTTACCTTTGGTAGGCAAGATAATTTTATTAATAAAAATCCAAAAAGAAAAATTATTTTTCTTTTAGGCATGGCCTAGTGAAGAAATTATAAACTTTGGCGAAAGAAAAGGTATTAAAACCAGGCCTGGACACGGATACGGATGATATCCGGATACCCGCGGATATATCCGGATACGGACGGATATGGAAAGTATTTTTTTAATCGAATGGATACGGATATGATTTTGCGCCAAATCTGCTAATCTTTCGGATATCCGCTCGTAATTTTTACAAGAAATGTTTTCGTCTGCGGCGCGCTGAAAAAAATTCGAAATTTTATCTACGATGCTCTGATGTTCCCACGCACCTCTGTTACGAAGTACATGTGTAGGGTAGGATTTGGTGATATATCCGGATAAGGATAGCAAAATCCGTGTCCACATGTAGTTTTGATTAAAACGGCTTTCAAATTTCATTTTTTACCTGAAGATTGGCGTGAATTTACTGTGCAACTTGTATTGAAATCTAAAAGAAATAATGCCAGCCAATTTTCAAAGCCAAAAGAGTACATAAACAGAACATTCACAGATGTGGAATTTCCGGAGGAGTTTATATTTCCCGATGAGGATCCAGACTTTTGCATTGAGGCTGGTGGAGATATTTCCTTAATTTTACCGAATTAATTAATTGAATAGTTGTATGTACTCTGTAAAAGAATTACTAGTATTGAGAATCCAGGTTCTATGGTGCAAGCTGTTACACATTCACTTGGGCGCTCACTTGGTCTTTCTTGGAAAAAGTATATTTCTAGAGAGGAGTTTAATGAGAGAATCTCATTTTTTAGATACCAACAAAAAGAAGAATATCAAAATAATCGAGCATCAGCTACTCGTTTTGCATCTCGAATAGAAAGCAATATTGGAGGAGCTCCAAATAGGCGTTTCCTGGAAGAACTTCGGAAATTTGGTATTCGGGAAGAGAGACGAAATGGGTCTGGGGTGGAAAAGTAAAATATTTAAAAGAATTCTTATAATTTAAAATATTTTAAAGAGCTCCTCATCCAAAAATTCTTAAAGAAGAGCAAGACTACATCATTGGGGTTTTTAAATTTAATTTAAACTTAAATTTAATTTTTATTTAAGTTTGCAAGATTTTGCTTATCGGATGCAATTTTAAATGGCAAAATACACAGCTATATACTTGAGAAAATGTTACCTGTTCAGAATCTTTTACCTATTTATGGAAATATTAGTGCTCAAATTTTTGTATTCCCAATTTTTATTTATTTTCCAATAACTACTTTCTTAGGTTCAGCCAATTTCTCTAATTACTCCATTGGCGCAGGGATATCTAGATATTTTTATTCCAAATGAAGGTGAATTTTTAGAGTAAATGAAGTTGAGATTTTTTAAAATAAAAAGACAAAATCTAGGAGAAATACGATCCTAAAAATTTTCGAAACAATAAAGGGAAAATTTAGGTATTTTGCATCAACAAATATATTGCGAACTCCAAGGAGGACAGCTTTGTTGCTGGGAAACTAATAAGGTGGAAAATGCAATTTTGGGTCCAAACCTGCAATTTAGCAAAACGGCACCAACATTTAGTTTTCATTTTAATGGGGTAAAGAGTCGTTATAAAATTTCAAATTCTTTTTCTTGATTAATTTACAGAAAGAAAGGCTCGAAAGAACATCATTTCCAACTGCATTTCGCCTAATTTTGTTTAAAGAGCACATTGGTGTGCCAAACAAGGATGAGAATCAGTGTCTTTTATGCATTTGTCCATCACAACATGCTTTGATAGGATGGCGTAATGCATTAAATCTACAAAGCCTTGACTATAGTATGCCTAAAATTTTGAGGACATTATATAGGATATATTAAAATAATGAATATTATACCCCCAAACCAGGAATTATACGTATTTGCATATACATATGTCCATGTTGTCTTTATATATCCTAGGACGGAGGTATTGATCAAATAATTAATTACCCCCTCCAACAAAAGATCGAAAGAATAATTCCCCAGGGTAATTATTTGAATGAATACGATAACTAACTAAAAATTAAAATGAATTTTTAACTTCATTAAATGTTTTAAGGCGTATGGGCAGAGTTTGGGCAAATCCAGCATAATTCTTTGGCATGTAAACCTCGAACAAACTTCCAATCAAAAATACAAAACATGAAAAATGATTTAAAGGTTCTTTTAGCTTTTTTTGTTTCGAATAAAATGCCACACATTTTTCTTATAAAGTATATGTTTAGGAACAGAAGACTGCTTTCTCAAAAAGGACGTTATCGCTAATAGGTAACGATCGACAGAAGGGTGGTGAAGTGGCAAGAAATAATATTCGGTCAACAAATCAACTTTCATCGGCATGCAGGATCAGTCTACTACAAGTTTATAAACAAAAACAGGTATAGAGAGATGTATTTAGAGGGTATTTGGACTTAAATAACAGTTAATGTTTTTAGCTAACAAAAAATGATAAAATTACGTCAGAAAATGTGATATCAGAGAAACCTCATCAAAATGATTCAATTAAAAGTAGAAAGAAACAAACACAAAATTATGTACTTTCATTAAATATTAGAGGAGAATGTATAAACAAAAATGATAAAAACATCCAAATTCAATCGGTAGACTTATTAATTTAGTCTTTAAAAACATTTGGAAAATTGCAGAGAGAACAAAAAGGCGGCAACCACCAAATGTATAACAGAAATATAAATGAAATTAATAATAACAATAATGAAAACATTCAAAAGAAGCCTAATTTTGATTATAATCAATTAATTAAAAAACAACAAGAAAGATCAAAAAAGTAAAGAAATTCAATTCATTTTTAAATAATTTTTAAGTTCAAAATTGGAACGATCTGGAACATGGCATTATGCGAATAATGGTGGTCAATCATGTACTCGATTATAATCAACAATGAAAGGATTAAACTAAAAAAAGAAAAAATAAACTTAAATATATTTGTATTAAATTGTTAATTGTCTTTATGAATAAGGAGGAATGATAAATTAAAGTTTAAACAAAATGTTTACGTTAAACTTACTGGATAGTTTTAATTATTTTAGGGCAACTAAAATACAAAATTTTTAAAATTTCGGATGGGAAGACAAAAGTTGAGAATTAAACTAATTCCCCTCACAAATGAGAGAATTTTCCTTACAACTGACCATTTTTACTTTTTCTCTTCTTTGACCCTTTCTCTTGTATACAATAAAGTCGGGTACAGCCCGACTTGTCGCGGCCGACTTGTCGCGACCGACTTGTCGCCGGCCGACTTGTCGCGAGGCCGACTTGTCGCCAAGCTTTTTAATTAAATATTCTGATTTATAATCAATTAGAATGGTCCCAACGACCATCAAATGGGACCATGCTGAATTATAAAACAAAAATTTTATAAAAAAATTTCCAAAATTAACCCCTAACTACAGTTTCCGTAACAGATTCAAAATTGGACAATTTAAATGTCATTCGAAAGGGCTCGACGAGCTGAGTCGAATGATACCAAAATCAGCTCGATTGGATGATTCTGAACAGAATTATGATCAACTGAATCTTCGCTGGAAAAACTGTTTTTGTGCTGCTACGGAGGGTAGGCCGGGCATGGTCTTCGCTACACGATGGCCGTGCTTCGCTGCGGTCGTGCTCGCTTCGCTCGCGGCGACCGTAGCGAAGCGGCGGCCGTCGTTCCGCTCGACATGCCCGGCTTCCTCCGCAGCGGCAAAAACTTTTTTCCGCGTAGACCTTGTGGAAGGGGGGTATTAATTAAAAAGCTTGGCGACAAGTCGGCCGGCGACAAGTCGGCCTCGCGACAAGTCGGCCGGCGACAAGTCGGTCGCGACAAGTCGGCCGCGACAAGTCGGCCCGCGGCAAGTCGGGCGTGTCCCAATAAAGTCAGACGCACGAGAGATGCGTTAAAATAAAGAGAGTAAACAGACGGCTCCTATACAACTCATCTAATCGTTAACTCATCTATTCGTTAACTCATCTACACGGCCAAAAAGGGTTAACTCATCTAATCGTTAACTCATCTATTCGTTAACTCATCTACACGGCCAAAAAGGGTCAACTCATCTAATCGTTAACTCATCTATTCGTTAACTCATCTACACGGCCAAAAACGCTTAACTCATCCAATCCTTGAAATATCGGCCGGTTGAGTCCCTAGCCGGTTGAGTCCCTGGTCAGTTGAGTCTCAACCGGCCCAAGACTCAACCGGCGGTAATCAACCACTCAAACGACCGGGACTCAACTGACCAGGGACTTAACCGGCTAGAGACTCAACTGGTCATGGACTCAACTGGTCATGGACTCAACTGGTCATGGACTCAACTGGCCATGGACTCAACTGGCCATGGACTCAACTGGCCATGGACCCTACTTACCAGAGACTCAAACGGCCATGGACCCTACTTACCAGAGACTCAAACGGCCGGAGACTCAAACGGCGAGAGACTCAAACGACTGGTACTCAATAGTCTCGTTCCAAAGGATTGGATGAGTTGAGCGTTTTTGGCCGTGTAGATGAGTTAAGGATTAGATGAGTTGATGATTGGATGAGTTGACCCTTTTTGGCCGTGTAGATGAGTTAACGAATAGATGAGTTAACGATTAGATGAGTTGACCCTTTTTGGACGTGTAGATGAGTTAAGGAATTTTAGCCGTTTAGATGAGTTGAACGTTTTTGGCCGTGTAGATGAGTTAACGAATAGATGAGTTAACCGGACACGAAACAGACATTTAATTTAAATTTTGGCGTTATGTTTAAAGAAAAGAGTTAGGTAGCTAGTTTTGGCTCCCCTACAAAGGATAGATGAATTAAAGGATAGATGCGCTAAAGGATAGATACGGCCAAAAACTATCAAAGGATAGATGCATCAAAGGATAGATGCACTAAAGGATAGATACGGCCAAAAGCGATCAAAGGATAGACAGTTGAATAGGTCGTTTGAGTCTGGACAAAAATGTTTAATAATCTGAATCTTCGCTGGAAAAACTGTTTTTGTGCTGCTACTGTTTTTGTGCTGCTACGGAGGGTAGGCCGGGCATGGTCTTCGCTACACGATGGCCGTGCTTCGCTGCGGTCGTGCTCGCTTCGCTCGCGGCGACCGTAGCGAAGCAGCGGCCGTCGTGTAGCGAAGACCATGCCCGGCTTCATCCGCAGCGGCAAAAACTTTTTTCCGCGAATATACTAAAGTACAAATAAAATAAAAATCAGAACAGAAACATGAAATCAGAACAAAGATCTGAAAAAAACAAACAAAGATTAGGCACTCAACAGTTGGTACTCAACTGGACTCCAAACTTTATCTATGTTTTACCCAATTTTAGACGTGTCTATACTTTAATGGATTCTACCCCTATCTATCCTTTGGCGCATCTATCCTTTGATGCATCTATCCTTTAATCGTTTTTTGCCTTATCTATCCTTTAGCAGCTTTTGGCCGCGTCTATCCTTTGATCGATTTTAGCCGTATCTATCCTTTGATTCATCTATCCTTTGAGCGGGCACGCTAGTTTTTGCTAGTTTTAGTTTTTTTTGCTAATTTTTGCTAGTTTTCACGCGTGCGTCAACGGGCTGGACCAGCTTTGTTTTATTGTCTAATTTTAGATTCGAAGAAAATGAAGCATAATAATCAAACTTTAATGCGTTCAGATATTCTCAAAAAATTATTTCAAAAATTTGATGAAGAAAAATTTAAAAAAGAAATTAAAAAGGAAAATGATTATTCTACAGGTTTTTTTAATTTAATTAAAAAAAATATTTTTTTAAGAAATTCGAAAAAGTATTGCCGAAACAGAAGAAGAAAATGGACTTATTTGTTTACATATAATTAATAACGATTTAAGCCCTTTACAAAATAAAAACAAAATTAAATGGCTTTTTGACGTCCAAAGGTTATTTAGTATTCAATTACCCAAAATGCCTAGAGAATATGTTGTCAGAATTGTTTTTGATAAATCTCACAAAAATTTAATTATTTACAAGAAGGATAAAGGGGTTATAGCTGGAATTTGTTATCGGTTATTCCAAGAACAGGGATTTGCTGAAATTGTTTTTTGTGCTGTGACGGCCGATGAACAGGTTTTTAGTTTTTGGCTTTTAAAAATTTGTTTGGTTTTCGTTTGTATTTCGTCTAATTTTTAATATTATTCTCACTAGAGTCCGAAATTTTGAAAAAACCCGGGAACGAGAAATGAAAATTAACTGGCCTGGACCTGTACCTGTAATTTTTGATCCCGTTTTCATCCCGGCATCTCCAAAAAAGCCGGGAAAAAGAACCGGTGTCGATCCCGTTGTAGCTGGAATTAACTTACATTAATTCTTTGTATTTTCCTCTAAATTTATTTCACTCACTAAAATCTTACGAAATAATTTTTAGGGTTATTTTGTGTCAAAATATTCTTCTAACAAATTTTAAATTTTTAGGTAAAAGGTTACGGGACACATATGATGAATCATTTAAAAGATTATATGGTCGGCAAATTAGGCATTTATCATTTATTAACCTACGCAGACGAATTTGCTATTGGCTATTTTATTAAACAAGATTTTATTACCGAATTTGCTTTGCCTTCTTCGAGATATAAAGGGTATATAAAGGATTATCAAGGGGCGACTTTAATGTATTGCCAATTACATCCAAAGTTTGTTTTTTTCTCTTTTAAATTAAATTAATTTTATTTAAAGATTAATTTATATAAAATCAAAACAAATTTATTTTAATATGAAAAAATTTTATTCTTTTGCTTTGAAAGAATTTTTTCCAAATTTTGGACTTCAATTTGAAGGATTAAAACAATTTTTTGAAAAAAATGGTTTTTTTTGTTTTTTAATTTAAATTTTTTTGAAATTTTTAGGTGGCCAGCCACTTTGTTTAGAACAAATTAAGGGAACTGAAAGTCTTTCAAATATTGAGGAATTGAAAAAAATTGAGGAGGAACAGACAAGAAATCAACAAACAGAAACTTTACAAAAAAATTTTCGATTAATTTTACAAAAATTAAAAGAAGACAAAAATTCTTGGCCTTTCAGGTTTTTAAATTAAATTTGGTTAAATCAGTGAAATTTGTTCCCCTCCTTCCCCTCCTTTTTTTACTAAATTTTATTAAAAATAGACAAAAATATGTTTTTCTAGGAAATCACTGGTGTGAGGGGGGTGTTGTGGTTTCCTTTTCCTTATTCCCTTAAAAGTTTTTGTTAGCGACGGACAATACCGAATCATTCATTAATTTTGATAAAATAAGGAAAAAAAGGATTTATAACTTAATTTCTTTTATTTTTTCAGAGAATCTGTAGATGTTGATTCAGTTCCAGATTATCACAATATAATTAATTTTCCAATTGATTTGGGTATAATTTCTCAAAAACTCAAAAATGGTTATTATACTTGTGTGAGCATTTTAAATTAATTTTTTTAAAATTAAAAATTTTAGGAAAGAATGTTAATTGCTGATTTAAAAAGAATGTTTTTTAATTGTTATAAATTTAATGCCCCCGACTCTCCTTATTATTATCACGGATATAAATTAAATGAAATTTGTTTAAAATTATGCAAACAATACTTTCCTCATTCAAGATTACAACCAACATTACCTGAAAATAAACCTAAATTTGTTGTTTCTGTTAAAAAATGATTAAATTTTTGTAAAATAAATTTTATCAATTTATCCATTTATTAACAAAAAAATAAATTGGAAATCCAGTTTTCCATTTCAGTAATCACAAATAACAAATATCGGCGCTAAATATTTTCTCAATTACCCAAAAAGTAAAAAAACAAGGATTGGGTGGGAGCTAACTCGAGGAATTCCAAAACACAGAATATTTTTAGAAATCAGAATTTTTTTAGAATTTCTTGTTTTGGTCATTCCGTGATTTGTCCGTTCCGTGAGTTAACCCGACACTCAAGGATTGACCACAATTAAAAACAAATTCTTTTTTTTTCTAATTTAAAATTTAGTTTATCAAAAAAAGTTCGAAGGTCTGTCTCTCCTTTTCATTTTTCATATTTTTGCATCGAGAGAAGTACTCTACTCTCTATTCGGCATCCTTGACAATTTTTGTTTTGAAAAGTGTTTGCTGCGCAGATTTGTGGATGATGAATATATTTATTATTATCCCCCCAAAAATATACATTTCTTTCTTTCTCATTTAACCAAAAAATGCTTAAAAAATATTTTTGTTTCTATTATTCCTTTCTTGTTTGTAATCAATTAATTATTTTATCGATAAGCGGAATTTTGGTATTTAAAATTTAATTTTGAGGTTTAAAATTTTAAAAAAATATAAGGGAGAGAGAATACCTGATGCAACGGAAATTGATCAATATGATGATCCTTTGTTGGATGAAGTAAATTTTATTTATATAATTTTAAAAAAAAGTCAAATTCGCAATCAGGGGCTTGTTTCATTTAATTACAGATTTTTCAGGAGAATTCTATCTTTATTTCAGATATTTAAAGAAACAAATTCTGACATTCAAAAAATAGAAAATGTTGCTTCTTCCTCGATAAATCAGCCACCAACTACACAACAACAAAATTCTGAATATTTAAATACTAAAAATTCAGCATCTTCCTCTCCTTCCCAATCATCTCTTCCTGGAATTAATCCAAATATTAAACCTCCAGCCGGTTCTTTATTCCCAACGGAAGTAGTTAAACATCAACAAAATAATTTTGGAGGATTTCCTCAAAATCCTTATGAAGGAGGGTTTGACCAATATAATGCTAACAACAATATTTTTGCCCGAACTCCTCTTACTGATTTTGCTTATCAAGCCGGACAGACATTTTATTCGGGTGTAAGACAGGTAGGTGTTTTGAATAAATAGAAATTTATGTTTTTATTTCAATTTTCAGGCCAGCCGTTTATTGGGAATTGACTCGGGGCAATATCAACAATACGAAGTACCATTGCTCAGCCAGAGTGCTCGTTTCTTTGGGAAAAGAAAATAAATTGATAATCTTAGATAATTTAAAAGAAGTCTAATTTAATTATCCTTATTTTCTCAAATATTAATTCAATTTAAAATTCTTTCAAAAATAATTAGTTTTCTTAATTCTTAACACGTCTTATTTAAAAATAAACCACAATTTTTTTTATTCATTTTTTTCTTAATCACCCCCCCCCCCCCCCACTTTCTCCTTTTCTGTGAATATTCTGTCTCTGAAAATAAACCGTTTAAAAGGTATTTTAAAGAATAAATTAAATTTTACTTTTTAAATATTGACCAATCCTTCACATATAAAAATAACTCATCCAGAAATCTTGTGATTAATTTAATGCTTTTTTCTATTAAAAGAGTGACTAAAAATTCAAAAAAACATCAAAAAAGCAGCTGACAGTCTCTTAAAGATCCCTCAAATAAATTCAAAATTGATCAAAAGATATTTTTGTGGCCTGTCAAAAGTTGTGTGTCACTTAAAATGTCATCCCCGACCTCAGGCAACAAATATATAACCCTCTCTCTCCCTCTTTTTATCACACACCACACAAGCTATGAAAGATGAATATCTCGAATTCCCCTAAATAATTCACTAAAAATTGTAATTATATTTTTAAACAAATTAATCTAAAGGTGTATTGCCCTATAATCATAATCTCATCCAAAAATTTCTGTAAAAAACATTTTTAGAAACTAAAATTCTTTAATTTTACTCTTAAAGAGCTTAAAATGAATTTACAAATTATTTTTGTATTATTTATATTTTTTGTAATTACTGTTGTGTACAACACCAATGCAATAGAAATTGGATTGAGTGCAGAAGCTGAACTTAATAGTGAAAAGATGATCTTTAAACGCCAGGTAAACTAAGGGAGAGGGAGAGAGAATAATCCAAGTTATATTCCCTTAGAAATATATCAAAAAATTATTTTTAAAAAATTAAAAATTATTTATATTAGATTCAAAATGAAGAAGTAAATAATACCTCCTCCTCTAGCGAAGAATCTAATGAAGATCCTGAGGGATCTGGAGAAGAACCGACAAAAGTTAGAAGAAAGAGAGAAGTTGAAAAAGACTCGTCATCTTCATCCTCCTCATCATCCCCAGAAAAAGATAGTAGTGAAGGTTCTGGGGAAGAGGGGGGAAGTTCGACAAACGCTCCACCACAAACAGAACAACCAACTGAAGCAGACTTATCAGAGCAATGAAAATGAACAAAAATAAAAGTGAACAAGCAAGTGAAGAATAAATTAAGAAATGCCAAAATTATATTTTTGAATTCCTTTTTTTGAATATTAAAAAGTTCTAATCCCAAAATAAAAAATATCTATTTAAACAGTACTTTTTTCACAAAAAAATCAAATAAATAACAACTAGAATAAATTCCCAGAAAATCTTTTCCCACCTTCAATTAAGCATTAACCCCAATATCAAATTCAAAATCCTTATAGCTTTGATCTAATTCTTGAATACGTACATAACCATCCTCACCACCGGAGACAACTAAATAGAAAATATTTTAAATTATTAATTAAGGGTTGCTTTTGTATTTAAAGCTCAACAAAAAAAGAGACGGGATATCGATAGAGATTTTTCGAGATATTTCGTCCAATCCCCCAGTCTCGTCTATTAAATACTTTTATTTCCTCTATTTTTCTATACTTACCAATATCCCCTGTTGGATCAAAAGTAATTGAGTTAATTGGACCGAAATGCCCTTTAAACCGCGCAAATTCCTCTTCAAAAATCATATGATACAGTTTTGCCTCAAATTGTCCAGAAGAAGTTGATGTCATCTAATTAAAAATTAAATAAAACTTTTTAATTTATTGTTTCCCAACCGTAACATTCACAGATTCTTCCCCACCTCCCAAAATTATATGGTCTCTAGTTGGTGAAATTGCGGCAGAATTTACTGGGCGAGTTGATCTATTAAAATATTTTTTTATTTAAAAAATTAATTCTCAAAGGTTATTTAATTAGAAATCCTTTCCTACTTGTATTTCTTCAATTGTTGTAATGTACGGGAATCATGTAACTGTGCAGTTTTATCCTTTGATGAAGAAATCAAAAAAGTTTCGTCCACAGATTTTTGCAATTCATTAATTGGAAAATTATGAGGACTACTAAAATCCTTTGCATCATTTGGCTGGCGTAAATCGTACAAATGCAATTGACCATTTTGAGTACCTAAAAAGGTTAATTTAAATTTAAATATTTAAAAGAAATACCAAGAATTATAGTATCATCCAAATGTGAAAAAAGACAAGTACTGCTAGGTTGATCAATTTCAATACGTAAAGTCGGTTCGAATTTTTTACTAAATTCCCGAAGATCTTGAACAAAAACACCGGCCCTATTTGAAATTGCTTTTTGTGTAGACAAAACAGCTAAATTTCCACTATATGAAAGGCCTAATTAAACGATAAAATTGAATTAATTAATAAATTTATTGATTATACCAATTGAACGAACAACTGAGCCAACTTCACTATCATTTAATTGGGCGCCCGTTTCAACATCCCAAACCTAAAAATCGTTTGATAATTGTGTAAAACAAATTTAAAAATTCTCGGCTTGAAAATGGAGATAGATTTCTTGGATATTTTCGACGTTGCTTTATGATTCTTCTCGAAAAAATTCAAACCCCAAACTACGGAAACTAAACCAAAAATAAATTTCTAGTCCATATTAAAAACAATTTAAAACTTCAAACCATCATATGCTGATCACCAGAAGCAGATACAAGTGTTTTAGTGTCCCAACTAACATCAACATCCCAAACAACACCAGTATGCCCTTCATAAGTACCAATTCTTTCCCCATTTTCAGTATACCACACACAAATATGTTTATCCTTTCCAGAAGAAAAAAGAATATCCCCCTCTTGATTAATACGTACACGGGTTATTGGACGTCCATGTCCTTTTAATGAAAGAGGTTTCATTTCTAAAAAACAAAAATTTAATCAACAAATAAATACTTAAATTTACTTAAGTGTGCTAACAAATCGAAGTATCAACCGAGCTAATTTGACTAAAAAAACTTTTAACAAAGGCTAGGCAAATGAACTTATTAATATTGTATGGAATAAATAAATATTAAAAGATATAATATCCAAAATATATATCATTATAAAAATATCTAATAAACCAAATTTTTATTCAAACAAGATTGTTGAAAATCAAAAAAAATTATTTAGATAAATATCCGCGCAAGTCACCAAAGTTCTCAAAGCTGCATTGGTTCTGGAGCTTGATTGTTGTTAATACTTGCAATAATTTCTTTAACTTGCTCTGATGGAAGGCAACCAAACTTGCATCGTTTACCCACAATTGCAATTGCAGTATTCTAGAGGAAAATAAAAAGAAAATATTTTTGTTAAAAATTATAAAAAAACATTTTCATCCAATTTAGTATTTGTCTGAAGAGTTTCTTTAAGAGCAAGAAGAGCGTGACGAATAACAACATTTTGGTCAGTACTATTTGCATATTCGTCAAAATGTTTTTCCAAATAAGTACGAGCAGATTGAGAACGAGCCCTAAAAAGGAGCTTTTTTAAATTCCGACCCCCTCCACGCAAAAATTAAAAAACATACCCAATTGAAGCAGCTTTAACCATTGTAACATTAGCAGATGGATCAGCATTAAGAACATGAGGACCAGAATCCTTTAAAAATAAATCAAATAAAAATAATTTTTTAAAAACTCCAACATCATATCCAATAATTAACAATCCAACTCCAAATGGCCGTTTCCCATAAACTTGAATATTCTCTTGCATCCCTAGATAAAGAGAATTATTTTATTCTACTTATAGAAAAGGAAAAAAAGATAAATTTAACTCAAAGTTAGTTTTGTTCGCAAATTTTCGATCGGCATTGGCGTTTGCAATTCCGAAAAGAAAGTAGCACATTCATTTTGAATAAATCGGCTAAATAAAATTTATTGAGTTTTAAAAAATGGAAAAAGTTTTACGCTAAAATTCTGCCATCCGCCAAAAGACCAGACATTGAAAGACCTACATGACCATCTAATTCAAATATCTTTGATTGATAAGAAGACAATTCGCTTTGAGAACGCTAAAAAATAACTGACATACTATAAGTTTAAAAAATAAGTTAAAAGTGAAAATATAGACAGGTAAAGGAATCGACTTGATTCATTAAATGAGTGAAACCAGTCTTTAAACACAAGATAACCAAATTCGAAATATGTAAAAAAATTTTCTCACCATAAGAGCAACAACAACAGCATGATCTTTTCCATGCAAAGCAACAGTAGCACTTCCTTGACGCATCGCTTCAACTGCATAATCGTTTTGATGTAAACGTCCCTAAAAATAAAATTTTTCTATTTTTATAATTTAAAGTTAACCTGCGGACTAAAAACAGTTACATCACTGTCATACTGATTCCGAAACATTTTTTAAATAATAATTAGAAATATTTAACTTTAAAATAAATTAAAATCAAAATATATTAAAGTATGAAAAACGTGAACACGTTAAAATCTGCCAGCAAAAATTGCTTACAAAAAGAATGTAAAATACAAGTAAAAAGGATTTATGACAATTGGACAGCGAGACAATTAAAAAATGGACAATTGCAAAAGTAGAAGACAATTAACAACTGCACAGTTTTTGAAAGATATATGTATATGATATCTTCTATGATATATATTCTTTGGCCACTTTTATCCTTCCCTTTCTTCTCTTTTCTTTAATCGCAAACCTGTAGAGGCACGAAATTTAGCAAATTGTTCATTATTCATTAATAAATCAAAAAATAAATATTGTCCACATTCACTAGGTATTCCTACATATCCTTCTTTGTAGAGACGCTGCGAAAGTTTTGAATTGTTTGGAAGCCTAAGTCGACGAATTGAAGCCCCCGAAAGTATTTTTACTTTCTGTTTTTAATTTTAAAAATAATTAATTAATTTAAAAAAATCTTTACTTTGTCGATTTGTTTAATTAATTCCGGCAATCCTTCTAATGTCCGACAAGAAATTGGAAATAAATTATTAGAATTTTCTGAAGTAAGAATTCCCCATTCTTTAAGTTTTTCTTTTCTTTCAACATCACATTTGTCCAATTTATTACCCACATTAATTATATTATTTATTAAATTTTGATTTATTTTTAAACTATGAAGTGTTTCCAAAACATTGTCACGTTGTGCTAGAAGATCAGGATGTGAAAGATCCATTATATGGATTAACAAATCCTTAAAAATATAAATAATTTTTTAATTAAAATGTCTAGTGTAATTCAATACAAAAACAGCACTTCTACCGCCATGCTTTGCCCATTAATGCAAGTCATTTTAAGGTTTTTTTCAACTATGGTTCCAAAAAAGACGACAAAGATGAAAAATGCTTGGTTCCCGAAGCTAGCTCCTGTACCGAAACCAAGATTTTAAAAATGCCAGTTTAAAAAAGGTCTGAGCCGGAGCCACAAAATACCAACTACCCAGCACTGGTCAGGAGTGTTAGACAATAAAATTTTTAATATTTTACGAATTGCTTTTAAGTAATAAAACAGACAGCGCTTTCGACATGTTGTAAAGTAGCAGAAAAAGATGCCAACAATTTAATTGGTAAATTAGAAATAAAACCAATTGTATCCGCAAAAATAACTTGAATACTTGAAGGTAATGTTGACAAATGGGTGGTTGAATCCAAGGTTGCAAAAAGACGATTTTCACCCAAAAGTGTTGAAGAATCAGTTAAACGTTTAATAAATGTTGTTTTGCCAGAATTTGTATAACTTAAAAATTTTTTTATTCAGAAAAAATATAAAAAATTACCCTATAATGCCAATTACAGGCGTCTTTCCAGGGCCATATTTTTCTTTATTTTCTAACAATTCTCGTTTAGTTAATTCAATAGAATTGTTTATTTGTTTTCTAATTTTGTGTTCACGAAGTCGGAGAAATTCAAGCTGCTTTGTACCTTCTAACCTAAAAATATACTTATTTTTTCTCTTATCCATATTAGCGCTCAATCGTCCAAAAAAAGTTTATGTGTTCAATCAACGGCAATAAATACCCTATTCTTTATTTAGGATCACAAAATCTAAAGAAACAGAAAGCTCTGGTCACCCAGAGTTATGTTACATTCGCACGATACCGGATACCTATCGCCGTTGATTGGACCCAAACTTTCCATTGGAAGCGTAATTTGGACAAGAGACTTAATTTTAATTCTCAAATAATTAAATATTTAACCTTTCTATTGTTGGAAACATTGGAGCCGATGAACTAATAAGTGTTTTATTATCTGAAAGATGCTCTCCAGATTTATTTAAAAATCTAATATGAGATCTAAAAATATATAAATTAATTTTGGAATAATTATTTTTTAAAAACCTTATAAAAGGTATTTCTGCCAAAGCAATTTGAAGTTTAGCTTCTTTTGTTTTGGCAAAAATTTTAAATATTGATAAAACAACAGTTAACCGATCATATATTGGGAGGCCAAAATAATTGGTTAATTCACTCTGAAATATTTTTATTTTTAATTTATTTTGTTTTAAATTTTACCAGTTGTAATGGAGATAAAGAATCGACATTAATCATTAATGCTGTAATATTATATTGTTGTCTGTGCCGAATTATAGCATCCAATCGACCGGAACCCCAAATCAATTTTGAACGAACATTATAGTCTGTATTTACAATAATACTACTAGAAATTAATTGAAATTAAATAAAAAAGGTGACGGATTTTATGTAAAAAATGGAGAGAGATGTAGAGGAGAATCTGAGGGAGATAACCGAGGCTAGCGGAACATCTAGAAAAACTTACTAGCAGAAAAAACTCCAAAGATAACAAAAATTGTCAAGTTACCTAACAACTTTAAACCCTGGAATTGTTTGGCATAATGTCTGTGCTTCTTCAACTTGAAGTTCAGGCGTTGCATTTTTTGGCGCTGATCCACTGCCCCACCTCACATGTGGATGGACTAATAAAATCTGTTCTGAACCAAAAACTTTATTTCCATTAAGCATTCCCAAAGCCAATTTTAATTCGGTAAATTGTTGTTCTTCAAGTTCTTCTTGAGTTAACAATTTCTTTGCTTCTGGTTGAGGGCGAATTTCACGTATTTTGACGGTTGAAAAACATCTTTGGAAAATATACTTTTCACCTAGTCGGCTTAAAAAGAATTTTAGTTAACTAATCGAAGTTTTGAAAAAAATACCTTGAAGTTCTAAAGATCCAAGAAAAATTGCCACACACAATACACGATAGTTTATAAAGTTGCATCGCTTAAAAATTTTTTTGAAAAAAATTAATGAAAATAAATGTAAACTCCTCGAAAAAAATCGAATTTAATTTAATATAAAATATTTTTATCTTCAATATTTATAAATATGTATGTACTATACATTAAAAGGAATTATTATAAGCATAGCAAAAGATAAATTTTGAATTTTTTAAAATGTCAGAAAATGACAATTATGCTTATAAAAATATTTTTTGATTTGTTTTTAAGCCTTGAAAAAACCCGCTAACAAATATCACGAAAAAAATAAATTTAAATTATATATAATTTTGAATATTTTAAAATAACGATTCTGTTCGATCCCGTATTTGTTTATCCCGTTCTTGTATTTTTCGAGTAAGATCTTCACGAAGTTCACGATCTTGATTATATTCATGCCGCTTGACTGATGAAATCCCATCCTTATTACTGACGAAGTTGTCAACAATACTAGATTGAGTATCATTCACCTAAAATAATTAAAAATATGTATATCACAATTAGGAATTAGTAGGATTGACTAAAGGTGAAAAAGCAGAAGATAAAAATTAATCAAAAACCCCCAAATAAAAAGGTCCCCAAACAACGCAATAAAGTGTGGCATATAAAGGCACCATATAAATCACTAAAAAATTATAAACCTGTTGCAGTTGTAATGTAATCTTTTGCTGATAATTACGTCCTTCGACTTCAGCTTTGTACAAAACAAGTCCAACTATAAAAACATAATTAGAATTATATAAGACCTTGCAAAAATTATTTTTACGTTTTGACGAAGGTTTTGTAGTAAAAAATGAAGGAGAACTTTCCAAATTTTGTTGAGAAATTCCTTTAGAAGGATAAATATTAGTGTTAACAGCAGCAGGTAATGGAGCAATAGAAGGATTAAGTCGAGGAATTTTAGCAGGTTTTGGTGTTGGAGCTGGCAAGTCGGTTGGTAAAATATTTTTTCGTGAAGTGTTACTGCCATTAGTATTGTTATTGCCAGCCAAAATAGTATTATTTCCTTCATTCGGAGTGATTAAATTCGATGTTGAGTCCAAATTAATAATTGTTATATCAGGAGTTTCACGTTTAACATCAGCACTCTTAAATATAAATATAGAACGATTTTCAAATTTAACAAACATTTTTATTAGTTTTCTTCAATGCCCGCTTTTCCTTTTTAGCTTTTCGATTCTCTTTTTCTTCTGCACTTATCTGAAAAGTGGCGATTTTATCCTTAAATCAAAATAATTCAAAAAACCTTGCGATCCCGTATTTGTTTATCCCGTTCTTGTATTCTTCGTGTAAGATCATCACGAATCTCACGATCTTGATTACGCTCCTGCCACTTAACAGCAATTACATCCTGATTACGGACAAATTTCTCAATAAAACTACATTGAGCAACGTTATTAACAGCATCACTCGTCTAAAGTAAAATATGTACTTTGTAAAAAACACGAGATACCCCCCCCCCCCCATAAATTGTCGGGAACAGGAATGCAGTAAAAACAAACCTGTTGTTGTTTTGGAGTATTCTTTTGCTGATAATCACGTCCTTCGACTTCAGCTTTGTGCAAAACAAGTCCAACTATAAAAAATAATTAGAATTATATAAAACCTTGCAAAAATTATTTATACGTCTTGATGAAGGTTTTGTAGTAAAAAATGAAGGAGAACCTTCCAAATTTTGTTGAGAAATTCCTTTACAAAGATTAATATCATTATTATTAACAACAGGCAATGGAGCGATAGAAGAATTAAGTCGTGGAATTTTAGCAGGTTTTGCTAATGATGCTGGCAAGTCCGGTGGTAAAGTATTCTTGCGTGAATTGATGTTGCTGTTGTTGTTATTACTGATATTGCTAGACAAATTATCTTCTTCAAGAGCGATGATTGATGATTTTTTAGCATCAGCTATCTTTAAGATTATTAATAATAAATTAATATTACTATAAAATAAAACCTCTTGCTTAAGTTTAGCTAAAAATGAATGTTTTTCCTCTAATGCCTTTCGATTATTCTCCATCGCCGCATCAATCTAAATAAATTAATTCCCAATATCAAATATTTTATAGTTTTTTTTTAAATTTACCGCCAATGTTCTCTCTTTAAGCCTCTGCTCTCGAATAGCGACATCCTCATTGAACAAATCTTCCTTCTTCCGGAGCGCATTTTCCGCTTCAATTTGTCGCGTAAAAATTTCCTTCTCCAATTGTGAGCAAGGATCGGAGTCTAGAACACTTTGAGGTAAGTTACGCATTCGGTAGTTCTCATAATGTACAGATTTAGTAACCTAAAAAAAGAGAGTTAATAAAAATACATAAAAACAAACTTCGATAAGATCAATCAAATTTCGAATAATCATATCACGAAGCGCAACAAAGTCGTTATGTCCCAAATTGTCAACTTCCACTATACCCCAAGGATATTCACGAACTCTAACCCTTTGCTTAGTAGCTCGTTGTTCACAGCCAACCAAAATTTCTTTGACGTGTGTAGACCCAACAATTGCAAATGGAAATCGTTTGGACGAGTCAAGTTGGGCAGAATCGCCGGCATTCTGTTGTGATTGTGCTCTACCATTTGTTGATAATTCCCTCCAGCCATTAACATCCAAATGCTGTTGTTCATAATCAAAATTGGGTGGCTTGTAGAGTGAAATATTGTTTTTCCTCATGTCTTCCATTATCTTCAAAAATATTTACAATGAAATTTATATTAAAGTACCTGATGTTTAAAATCTTCAAGTTCAGCAGGAGTAAGTGTGTCTGCCTTGGCAATAACTGGAACGATATTAACCCGATCCTGGAGAGCTTGCATAAAAGCTATATCTAATTGTTTGAGGCTTAAAAGTATTTTTTAAAGATATTTTGAATAAAAGAAATAATTTAATTTACCCATGTCCATTGGGTGGAATAAAGTAAATACACAGATGAACTCGTTTATCTTCAATTCTGGCAGATCGATCAATTTTCGTCTCTTCTGCCAAATAATCAGCAAAGCGGTCATCAATGTATTTAACTATAGGCTCCCAACTAAAATTTAAAAAATATGCTATTAATATTTAAATTAAAAAACCAATTAGAATTATCAACAAAATCTCCAAATCCGGGAGTGTCCACAACAGTGAGCTTAAAATTAAAAATTAATTTTGACATTTTAAATATAAAATACCTTCAATCTGACATCATTCTCGGTAAGGCGAAAAGTTTTGCTTTCAATACTCACTGTTGATTTTATCTTCGAAGATTCTTCGTGTTTCAGATCAAGAAGTTCAGCCATAAAAAGTGTATTAAGAAAAGTTGATTTACCCAAACCAGACTGACCTTAATTAATATAAATGTCTAAAATCTCAAAATTTATTACTAACCAACAACCATCAAAGAGAATTCAAATCCATTTTTTAAGCATCTTCTAAACACTTGGTCAGGAAAATCGGCAAAACAAACATAATTAAGAGATGGTATTCCATTTTTAACTCGTGCGGCTTCTGTAATTGTCGACATAAAATGTGTAAATTCTAAATATTCTAAAATAAAAATTAACATTCTTTTTTGTATAAATCCAGAAGATTCAACAAGTCGCCGGGAAGGCATCCCTCTCACTCATTTGTGAACGAAATACCCAGGCGGAAGTTAGAGTTTTGTCCCAAAAGGTGGGAGGGGATCATTGAGTTGAGTACCTGAGCCATATTTAGGCCATATCTTTTTGTGTTTTGTACCAATTCGAATAAATCCTTTATCAATCAAAAGCCCTGGATGTGTGGATTATTTTCGCCAAAAAGATTGATTTTATCAGATCATGTTACAAAAAGTTACATCTCGATAAATGCGCGCAATCGTGAGTTTGATCTTTATCTGGCTGTAACTTTCTGCATGATGATCTGATCAGATCACTCCTGTTAGCGAAAATAATCCTCACATCAAGGGCTTTCGATTGGTATAATAATTAAATCAATTAATTAAGAATCAAAAAAGTTATGGCTCAAAATGTCTAGGCACTCAACTGGGACGTTCCGAAATTTTACCTGGACGACAATAGGAAGAAAAGATATTTGGACAAAAGACCTTTGGACAGAGGACAAATAGACAGAGGTAAAGAAATACCGTTCAAAGAACATTTTAATTTTTTAAATACTCAATTTATTCAAAAGTTGAAAGAAATGAAAAAAATCTCTCCTTTTTAAAATTTATTCTTTTTTTTCAATTTTCTGTCACTTTTTCTTTTTATGAATTGTTTCCCCATACACGCTTGTGATAATCAGCCGAAGCTAAAACATAATCCTTTAAGAAAAATTTTTTTGTTAAATTTTAAATTATTGTAAAAAATATTTTAACCTCATCAACACTAAAAAACTCTTGATGATTTTTATTCAAGAACATAACAAAATCCTGCGCATGACGAATAATTGCTTCAAGTGAACGCTCACTCCAGTCCGTATATCCCAACTAAAAAATAGATAAAATTGATGTATTGTCGTTTACGGGTCCCTTCTTCCTCCCCAAGTATTTCCTATGAATGTACATAATGGTCAGACTTTCCTTCATTTCTTCCTTTCAGACTTGATTGCATGTTGGTAAAAAATATGGAAGAATCTGCCTTACTGTACATTCAGAGAAAAAACTTGGAGGATGATAAATGAGGTCCCGTAAACGACAAATGTTACCAAAGAATATCTTTAAATTAAAAAAAATCTAAAAAAAACCATGTCTGTAAATCGAACGAACATTCGCAATAAATGTGGCAATCCAAATTGTTTAGCAAAACAGATACGTTGTTGTTGTTCCTCTTTATCTGAAGAAATAAATTTTAAATTATTTTGACATTTAAAGTTTAAAATTAAGGAGTTTTTAGAGAGTCTTTAACTTTAGAGAAGAAGAGGAAAGAAAAAAAGGGAGTCTCATTTTCCTCTTTAATAAGAAGAATGAGATGGACTCACATAAGCCTCTCCAAAAATACCTAACTTTGAAGCCATATAATTTTGTAATTTCGAGGTCAGGACAAAAAACAGCTAAAAATTGGTAATCTGTTATCGACCATGTCCTACACAAATTTGGTGATAGTTTCCGATAGTTACTTGTCAAAACTAAAGAAACTCTTCACTAGAGGAGAGAACCTTTAATTTAAATTAAAAAACCTTTATTTAAAGCATCACCATTTCCTTCTTCATTATTTTCTCCTTCTTCAGCCCTTTCTTTATTCAATGATTCATAAAGATCATTAAACATTGGACGTTCAAATTTGTAAAGAAGAATTGTCCCAATTGCTTGTTCAAAATAATCTAAAAGACCAAGAGCACTATGTTCTAAATTCTCAGCTGTAGGATTAAGCAAAGCATTAGAAACATTTGAATTTTCAATGTAAAATTCGCGAGGTGAAACACCCCGTGGATTTACAGTTTCACGATACTAAAAAAAGTATAAATAATTAAACCAAGCAATTAAAAAAGACCTTCTGAACAATATCAAAAGCAGTAATTCGAGCAGGCAATTTAGGCAAAAAACAACTTTTGTTAATTAAATTTTCATCATCAATAAGTATACGTCGAAGAGCATCCGGCAAAACAATTTGTGGCATTTCCTTTCGACGTTCATGAACATCTGCGGCTAAAGGTCTACGAATTGCGGCAGTCTTGCGTTTTGCTAAATAATTAAATAAAAGAAATAATAAGCAAATAAAAACCAGAAGTATCACCACCACCAGGAGTACTTGAACGGCTATCGTCTGCTGTCGAAATACCAGAAGAGCGTTTATCCGCAGTTTTGCGCTTTTTACTGGCTGCTTGTTGAGCTCTTTTAATCTCATCCTAATTGTTAATTAATTTGAAAAAAAATATTCAAAAACCTTTGCTTTTTCTGCGTCTTCCTGTGTATAATCTTTAAAGCGGAGTAATGCTTTACTGTGTGGAATAACTTCATCGTGACGAGAACTCCAGCCCTACAAAAATATTTTTAGAATAAAAATAACATTATAAGACTGAAAATCCTTTTAGAAAATGAAAAACTAGGAAAAAGGGAATAAAAGAAAGACAAAAAGTTCCCTAATCAATCCCCCCCCCCACTCCCTCAAAAAATTAAAAAAATAAACCGGATAATGAACAGCATAAGCAGTTTCTCCTTCTTTAGTCTTTAAAGACATAATCTTTGCTTCATAATAAATATTCTCAGCATTCATATAACGACACAAAACTTTATCCCCAACATTCCATTTTTTAGTAACTTCGTGGACTGGATGCCCATCAGTTGAAGTTGTTGAATCTGCTAAAGCTTTTTCAGTTAATTCAACATTTTTTGGCGTTGTTGTTGCTGAAGAAGTTGAAGTATTTAAATCAGAATTTGTTGTTGCTGTATTCTTTCTTTTTGATGAACCACTTTTTGTTGAAACCGAAGGCATTTTTAAAAAAAATCTTTAAAAAGTTATAAATAAATTTAAAAATAACGGTTAGACACGATTCAGCGCCCACGATTCAGCGCACACGATTCAGCGCACACGATTCAGCGCACACGATTCAGCACCACCACGATTCAGCGCACACGATTCAGCGCACACGGTTCAGCGCCAGTTATAGTTCAGCGCCAGTTATTTAGCAAAAAAATAAGTAAAAATCAATGTTCTCGTTTTTTTATCAACTTTTTTTAAAAAGTTCTACATATTTTTTATCAACTTATCAACTTTGCTTCAATATTTTTCTTTTCATTTCAAAAAATTTACGCGGAAAAAAGTTTTTGCCGCTGCGGAGGAAGCCGGGCATGTCGAGCGGAACGACGGCCGCCGCTTCGCTACGGTCGCCGCGAGCGCAGCGAGCACGACCGCAGCGAAGCACGGCCATCGTGTAGCGAAGACCATGCCCGGCCTACCCTCCGTAGCAGCACAAAAACAGTTTTTCCAGCGAAGATTCTGTTGGTCATAGGTTTGTGCATAATTACAAATCAACTTGATCTCGGTAATTTGACTCTGTTCGTCGAACTCATGCAAATGAATTATGGGCGCTGAAACGTGCCTTCTATAACTGGCGCTGAACCGTGTGCGCTGAATCGTGTGCGCTGAATCGTGGTGGTGCTGAATCGTGTGCGCTGAATCGTGTGCGCTGAATCGTGGGCGCTGAATCATACCCCACCGTAAAAATAAAACCAAAAAATTTGTTTTAACACAAATTTTTTTCATAGACCACCAATTAATTGAAAGTAATTATTCAGGTTTTAAATTGTGGACATTGAGGGAATAGAACCTCACGACAATTGAACAAAAATTATTGGACAGTGAATATCATATTTTTCCGTATTAGAGCCCCTCATAAATACGGCTCGCTTTTTGGGATGGTTGAAAAATATAGATTAAAAAATATTAATAACCATAACAGAAAATACGGTATATGAGGAGTCGGTACATAATGTCCTTGTTCGATAAATGTTAAAAAATATTTTTGTTGTCAAACAAAACACAATTTAACAAAAAATTGTTTTAATAATATTTATGCATTTATAAATTTAAAAAAATTATATTTAAAATAATTATGTATAAATATGGCAAAAAACATACACAGATTCCTCTCCCCTTTAAATTTAAAATTCAGAGATCGGCTCGGATCAGACCTTGATTTTTCCTTGAGACGAGCCAAGATAAACCCAAGGGACACAATTATTTTAATGGTAATCCTGCAGAACATTGGTCCCTATAAAAAATGATGAAAATGGCACTATCTGAAAGGAGGTGCGGGATCACATTTTTTCCTCCTTCCTTTCATTAGTCAGTCTACCTTCCATTCCTCCTTATTATGAAAAAAATGGTCAGTCCTTCCTCGCCCTTAATTTTGCCTGTGACACATTCAAATAAGGGACATTAATAAGGAAAGGATTATTTTTTCTCAATGCCATTGTTAGGACGGGACAGGAGACGGAACGACAAAACAGGTCGGACAATCACAGTCTTACCAAATCATGGAACGACTAAACACGGACCATAACAAAACAGGAAACAGACAAGGCACAGTCCTACCAAATCACGATCCCAGATATTTGGGCCATTTTTGCTCATTCCGTGTTATGTTCGTTCCGTTTTTTGGTATGGTCCGTGTCTTGTCTGTTCCGTAGTTAGCCTGGCACGGTTTAAAAAATAAAAGAAGACCTTTTTCATTTGAACATGCCACAAGGAAATTGAATAAAATAAGGAAGGATGCTAGACTGACCATTTTTTCATATTAAGGAGAAATGGAAGGAGACTGACTAATGTAAGGAAGGAGGAGGAAAAAATATGATCCCGCACCCCCTTTCAGATAGAGCCAAAATGTGCTTTTTCGATATTTTTGAGGGTTTCCAATGGGAAAAAAATCAAGGTTTTTTAAAAATTTCCGATCTCTAAAAAATTTTTTTACAATACAATTAATTTAATATTTTCTTTAATAATTATTACATTATTTGGATTATTAAAAATAATTAAAATAATTTCTTTTTCCTCGTCACTATCAATCATTGCAAATCCATTATCATTAAAATAATAAATTAAATTCTGATTTAATTTTAAAAAATTTTCTTTTAAATCAATCCAAATTAAAGGTAAAATAACATTTTTATTTTCCTTTTTAATTTTTATTTTAAATTTAAAATTTGTAATTTTAACAAATGATGTTATAGAAGCATTTCCATATTTTCCAATTAAATTATCAAATTTATTTGGATATAATATAAATTGTGGTGGAATTGAAAATGAAGTATTATTTGAATTATTAATTGAAAGTGTTGCAGATATTAAATAATTACTGTCAAAATTAGTTTTCTTAAAAAAATTTTTTTAATAATCTTTTTTACAAGATTAAACTTAGGGTCACACAGTAGGTTAAGCCCCATGTCAAATGACCCAGAGAGTCAAATCCAAAAAAAGGACAAATCCATAAAAGATCAGAAATACGTTTGTCTGCTTATTTCGCCCTTTCCGTCTAACAATGTCTCTTAACCCCCTCAATTCCAACAAATCTATATTAATCACCCATATCCATCGATATCCCCCTCGCACAAAACCGTCTTAATCTGCACAATTCCTTTATCCACCCAAATATTTGAATTTGACCCTCTAGATTGATCCCTAAACTTACATTATTTTTTATTTTCCAATTAAATTCTTCAGGTAAATAAATTTCATTAGATGACAATAAAGATATTTTATTTAATTTTATTATTTGTTCATAAATTGGATCATTTCCATATTGTAAAATAAAAACTTTAATTGTAATTGTGGAGTTATAAATATTTTCAAGTATATCAGAACAGACAAAAAGATGAAAATTTTCATTTTGGTCAAAAAACTAAAAAAAGAAATATAAAAATTAAATCTAAAAATTTCAAAAAAACCATCGATAAAATTAAAGGAGCAAAAGACCGCTTAACAAAATAATGACTAATTTTCCACCGTAAATTAAAATCTATTGTAGACCAAGTCGGAGCAGCCCAAACATCATTTAACTGCCAATACATTGCACACATTGTATAACCCAATCCATTTGTTAAATTTAAATTAGAACGCCATCTATTTATTTGAGATTAAAAAGTAATTAAAATAATTTTTAAAAAACCTTCTATAATGTTCAATTTGTGTTTGTAACGCTATAGATTGATGTACTTGAGATAAAAAGGCAAATTCTTCAATAAAAGAAGTAGAAGAATTTGATGACAACTATTATTTAATAATAAAAAATAAAAAAATAAAACCAAAAAATGTTGTAAAATCATTATTGGAAGAGTTAAAGCACCCCCTGGATGGTGCTGTCTTTCCAATAAAGTTTCACTTGTATATTTCCAATCTTCTTCTTTAATCCAATTAACCATTGTTGATTTAAAAGGCATTGATTGAACACCAAATTCTGAAGCACATCGAGGAATTAAATAAGTAGAATCTTCCCAAAGATTTTTTGTTTCAGCATAAAAGTGAATATCTCCATAGAGAGGACTTCCAGGATTTTCAGAAATACCTCCCTTACTAGAAAATTATTTTAGAAAAAATAATTTAATAAAAAAAAAGTAAATTAAAAACCTTTACATTTCCGTTTCAATTCCATTTGAAGGGCTCGATAAAAGAAAAGGTCTGCTTGTATCTAATTTATCAACTATTGGTTGTATTGTTTGTTTATAGAGAATTAAATAATCTTTTGATTGTAATTCTTTCGAATAATTTTTTGCAAAATACCAACCAGCACTTTAATTATTTCAAAAAATATTTGAAAAAGTTATTTTTAAAAAACCTTATAGCCAATTCATTTTCATTATTTCCTGCCCAACAAAGTAAAGATGGATGATGTCTTAAACGAAGAACCTAAATCAATAAAAATCAAAAATAAAATAATTTTAAAAACCTGTTCTGTAACTTCTCTTTTAACAGAATTTAAAAAAGCTTTATTTACTGGGTATAAAGCGCAGGCAAACATAAAATCCTGCCAAATAAGTAAACCTAAAAGTAAAAGAATATTGAAAGAATATTGGGAGGAAATTTTGAATAAAAAACCTAATTCATCAGCTAAACTATAAAAATCATCATCTTCATAAAATCCACCACCCCAAACACGCAAAACGTTCATATTTGCTTCAATCATTGAATGAAAAAGAAAATTACGTCTTAATGTATTATTGCGTGAAGGAAATATTGATATTGGAACAAAATTGGTACCTAGACTAAAAAAAATTTATTTTCAAAAAATTGTTTTGTGTTCATTAAATAAATCTTTAACACATCTGGTCGTTTCATTCAAAGACCAAAATAAACGACCAAATTCAAATGTTCTAAAAATTCTCAAGTTTGGGATCTATTAAAAAACAATCTAAAAATATTATCCAAAATTTCAAAGCTTTTGGGCATAAAAAAATTCTAAAACAATTTTTGTAAAACGACATTTTTATTAAATGATTTTAATATATTAAACCTTTAAGAAATATAGGTATATTATTAACTTCAAATTGAAAAAAGCGTCCCTTGTCATGGTCTAATTCAGTTACAAAACTTTGATTTAAATAAATTGAACGAAAAGCTATTCTTTTTTTAATTGAATCTAATAAAGTATCTAAAAATTTATTTATTTAAATTTAATAAAACTTTTAATATAAAAAACCGTTTAAATAAATTTTTAATTGTAAAGTATATAAAGGTTGAGAACCATAACCATTAGGCCACCAAAGTTTGACCTAAAATATAAACGAATATAGATTCTTTGATTAGATTTGTCTTATATTTCCCTAACCCCTTTTTACAGGAGCTAGTCGGCGTTGGGCCCCAAGAGTGGTAACCCACCCTTGGGGCGCGCCGATCCACCTATTAAAAACGAAGGCCTTCTTTTTAACCTTTTTATTCAACAAATATAATTTAAATAAAAGGGAGAGAGGACAGGCCAACTTTTGATCGGGCCCAAAACTAATTAAGTGAATGAATGAATAAGTTGATTTGGCCTATTCTCTCTCGCCTTTTATGAGGCGCTAAAATGGGCGTTTCATAAATTTAACTATGACATTCTATACGCGGGGGGTGGGGGATACAACAGAAAAAGCGGATAAATAAAAGTGCGGAAAATGTGAAATGAAATTCTTATTTTCTTTCATCCAATAATCTATCTTTTCTTGTATTCGTCATTTCATCCTAATTCTTCGCTTCCATTCTTTTAGCAATCGAATCTAGCCCGCGCAAAACGTAATTTCACTTCAACAAATTCCTGCACTAGTTGTATTTAATCAAGAAAATTTTGGCAAAAATGGAAAAAATTATTTATGTGTCAACGGAGCGCCAATCCAATCAAATGTCAAAAAATAAACGCCAAAATCCACTTTCTCTTCCTCTCCTGGGGGGTCAGCAAATAAGTCTATTTCGAAAAATGTATCCCGTCGCCAAATGTTTTTTAAAACTCCTCAAAATCTGTTCCGTCCGTGGGCCAGTTCTGATATCCTTGATCCTGATAATATTCCTCTCCCCAGTTTTCATTACTCTCATGTGGAAACCATTGGCTTTCATCGTCATAATTTTGGTCATTGTCATAGTATGGGTCAAAATTTAGGTCAATCTGTTCACCCCAATTTTCATCATCCTCTCCCCAATTCTCACCACATCCGTTTGACTCCTGGAATTGCTCCTCATAGTAATATTGGTCATCATTTTGGTAAGGATCCCTGACTTCATTGATCTCCGCTAGCGCCGCCTTAACTTCTATTTTCTCCAGTCTTTTCCTTGTATCATCCTTAATTGTCCGATTTAATTCATCAACCCTTTTAGCCTGCGCTATTGCTTCTGCCAATGAAGAGGGCGCTTTCATAAAAATAATCTTTTCCCTAAGTTCAGGTAACAGTCCGGCTTTAAATCTCTCCATACAAATCTCCTCTTTAAACCTTTTGACCATTTTTTCATTTTCCCCCTTCAAGCCTGTCCTTTGTTCATCATCTAATTTGATTGAAGCAAGGTCCATTCCAAACGCATTCTCAGGATAAGCTGCTTCCACTAAATTCGTTAAATCCATTGCGAATTCTTCTAATCCTTCGCCCATTTCCTGTCTCCTTTCAACCAATTTTTTGCGTGCGCTTTCCTTATTTGATATCTTGCTTAGCCTCTCTGCCAATTTTTCTACAAGTGTCTTCCACCGCGATTTTTCATCCACGGGCATTGATTCGTAAATCGCGAGTGCAGACCCTTGTAGATACAGTGGTAATATCTGGCTACATCTCGCAGGAGTCCAATTGTGTGCCGTTGCTATTCGGTTGAAAGTCCTCAGATAACTCAAAAAATCTCCATTGCCATCAAAGAAGGTAGGGTATGGAAGTCCACTTGAGCTCGTACCAATATTATCCCCTCTATCCTTTGTATTGTCCCCTTCCAATCCTGAAATATCCTCTTCTTTCATCATAAGCCTCTATTAATTCTTTAGTCAGTCTTTGTCCGGACTTGCTTATTTTATAATTTTTTCTAATTTTATTCCAATGCTCGACTTTTCCTAACACTTCAAATAATATCTCCTCTTTTAGCTAGCTTTTTGCCCACAGTAGGGGACCAGAAGCGATACTGCAGTTATACACTTCTGATCTGTTAGGAAAATGGTTCGAGCTTTTAATTCCTCAATTTATTTTTTTTTCCACGTGCACGTTTTTTTAGCTTTGATTCCAAGACTGGCTATAAAATTCTACTAGAGGCCTGATTCAAGAGATTATATCCAGAATTTTCCAAAATCCGCGAATAAGTGTCCTTTATCCTTCCCAACAGTATCCTTCTCTCACTTCAAATGCTTCGGACTTAACAATCAACTCCAAGCTAAAATCTTCCGCTCCAATTGAACTTCTTCGCTTTAGCCTTTTCACTCTTCTCTTTATCGATAATATCCTCAGAATATCCGTTGATTTAGTTTCCTTGTGCTCCGTTTGTTCCCTCCGTGTATCCTTTCAATGAATCCTTCGTATGAAAAATCCGTGTATCCTTTGATCGAATCCTTGTGTATCCTTGAACAAATGAATCCGTTTGTTGAAAATTTCCTCGCTCCTATTCTGCTCTTCAGTAATCAAATGTGAGCCAAATTGACTCGATAAAAATTCCTTTTTATAGGAATTTTTTTCCTTAATTTGGTTACGCCCAAAACTTGCTCGCACAAAATTTTCTGCTGTAATGTCACAAGAGATCGCTGCTATTCTTGTGATAAGAAAATTTTAGCGTTTCCAAATTCCTTCTTATTTGCCCACTTCCGGCCTATTTGCGCGTTGCTGCAAAAGAAGAAGTCCAAAAAACTAGTTTAATAAATAAGAATTTTTTTTTCCGCTCGCCAAAATTAAGTTGATTGATGGGTAGAAGAAATAATTTTTTTATAATAAATATTTTTGGAATATTTTTAGAAATATTTTTTGGGTGGAGTAGGAATTTTTTTATTAGGTGGAGAAAATTACAGGAGCGCCATCTTATATTTCCCTAACCCCTTTTTACAGGAGCTAGTCGGCGTTGGGCCCCAAGAGTGGTAACCCACCCTTGGGGCGCGCCGATCCACCTATTAAAAACGAAGGCCTTCTTTTTAACCTTTTTATTCAACAAATATAATTTAAATAAAAGGGAGAGAGGACAGGCCAACTTTTGATCGGGCCCAAAACTAATTAAGTGAATGAATGAATAAGTTGATTTGGCCTATTCTCTCTCGCCTTTTATGAGGCGCTAAAATGGGCGTTTCATAAATTTAACTATGACAATTTGATAATTTTGTATCGCACTGTATTCCGAACTACGATACGGACTAAAAATAAAATACAGTGCGGTGTCTAGTACAAGACTAATTTTAATTAAAAACAACCTTTTTACGAGGAACTAAAATATCCAAATTCTCCAATTTAATTTTTGGACATTTTCCATAATTAGTAGGGCGAAAATTCAAATATTTTGTTAAACCAATTTCATCTAGACTTAATTCAATTTTAAAATTTTCAAAATCAGAATAACAGTAAATTGAAATAATATTTTTAACGAGAAAATGAGCTGAAAATAAAATAAATTAATTTTTAAAAACAAAAATAAATACTTTTTCCATATGGTTCAATTAATGGAGAGAAATTTTCTATTGAAATATGATCAAAATAAATAATTTCAATAGGTCGCCAGATGCCTACTAAAAAATCAAAACAAAATAATTTTTATAGATTTATTTATACCAAAGGGCATGCTTGGTCCCCAATCCCAAGCAAAACTCGCTTGCATTGAACGTAAAAAGTTAACATGACATTGACCATTATACGCTTCGGGCGGGCATTCCTATAAAGAAATTTAATAAGTACTTCATTAATATCCAGTCCCCCTTAATTGTGTCCCACATTGAGTTCCCTTTTTTTAATAAACAAAAAATTAATTAATGTATTAAAAGAAGCATACTGGTGGCAAAACATGGTTGTTAAGCAACTTTAAAGGAAAAAAAATAAATTGAATATTCTATTTCGAAAAAAATAAACCTCATAAACATCTGATCGCATCTTTGCTTCTTTAACATTAGATTTAAATGAAATACGCAAGAAATTCATTCCTCTAACCAAAAGAGATGTTAAATTAATTGAGTAACTTAAAAATTGATTGTCCAAATTAGCAACATGATAATCATTAAAATAAATAGAAGAGAATCCATTTAAACCATGTATTTTTAAAAGAACATTGTTTGCCTGAAAGAAAATTTGGTGTTATCGCTGCCACCAATTTATTTTTCTTTTCCTATCTTTCTCCAAAAAAAGTACAAATGGGTCATAGTGAAATACATTATGCAATAAGTAAGTTTTGCATTTTAGAACCTCTGGTCCGGTATTGTACGTGAGTTGCGTATCTATTCCCATACAAATTTTATAAAAACATGTTAGCTAAGGCCAATAAAGTAAAAATACTTTGACCCGTGTTTTATTGGAGAACAGCACCGAAAATTTAAATGAAATCTCCTACAGAATCATAACACATTTCTTATTAGAAAAGAATAACTAACCTTATAAACTTCCTGCGGTAAAAGTATTGTTCGTTCATATATCCAATCTTGTTGACCTACCCATCCATATATTTTATCACCTTGACCAAAAAGTGGATTTTTGATAAAATTATTAGCTTCCAAATCAGCATAAATATCGCCTGGGACAATAGCAGAACCAGAAATATTTAACTTTGGAGAATAAAAATTCCAATGAGTGCCGCCAAGATCGACTTTGAAAGGGAGAGAAGAAACAAAATTAGTTGATAAAAGGAATAACCAATAAAATATTTTGTGAGACATGGATGCTATTGAATGAAGCTACGAAATTTTCTAACATAAGAAAAAAATATTTAGTAAAACACCTTCAAAATAAATAGTCTTCAAAAAAACTAAAAGTTATTTTTAAAAAATGAATTAATAATATCAAATATTTATTACATACTGACACTGGGAGAAGAAAAAAAATTAGATACAAAAAAGGCCAGAAAAATATAAGGACATATTTTTAATAAACAAAGAAAGGATAAAAAATATATTTAAATACCATCATTTCTTGTTTCTATTTGGGGAAAAGACAATATGAGCAAGTTTTTCCTGCCTTCTTGCTTCCTCAATCGGACATTCATCTGTTGGATGACAATCAAAACGTTCACAATATTCGCAGTAAAGACGACATCTTCTTTGTGGTTGTTGCTGTTTATTTGTATGATTCCTTTAATGAAAAAAAAAGAATTTTAAATTTATTTAATGGAAAATAAATTATATTTAAATAAATTATATTTAATATTATGCTAATGCAAGAAAATCCAAATAATTCGGTTCAGACATAACGGGACTGTTATGAGAAAAATAATTTGTGCATTTACGTTGGCTCTAATTGTAAAACATAAAAACTCCTTCCTTCAATAGGGCAATATACTCCAAGACCCAGTGGCCATAGGTCCCGAAATGAGTAGGGCAACTGTTTCCACATTGAAATATCTCGTTATGTCCGTTCCGACATTCCCGCATGCCTTTTATTTAAACAAAAAAAAAACGAACCTTATAAGATTCCCACCAATACAACTTTCAATATTATTACTTCCATTTCCATTATTATTTTTCGATTCTCCTCCAATTCCTCCAATAGACATTTTCTTCATTTGTTCAATAGCCATTTGTTGATCAGCAATTATTTTATTTAAAAAGGAATTTTGTTGTTCTAAACGGTCAACATCTTGACATTTTTCTTTAAGCTTTTTATGTAAAGTATTTGGTGAACAAAGTTTTTGTTCATCTGAACTTGCTGGCGTTGAAAATATATCGTTGAATGGAAGTTGCTAAAATTTTATTCAAATATATATTTTTTTAATAAGCAAAACAAACCGTAACATTTAATTCTAAAACCTCGTTAGTTGATGAAAATGAAGAATTCCGAGGAGGTGTTGCGTTAGTCTTGCAAGTAGAATTGTTAAGAGTATTTGCCTCGAATGAATCCTTTAAAAACAGTTAAAAATTTAGGCAAATAAAAAAACCTTTCTAATGGCCACAGGACTAGGCAACATAAAATCAGTCTGAACTGCAGATTCGATAAAATGAACGAAAACAGGTATTTGTTTAAGCTCTTCAGTTTGAGAACTGATACTTTGAATTTTTGGAGGTAGTACAGGAAGTGTTTGAATTCCCTCTTCTTTATTTAAAATAGTCGTTGCGAGTGTTTGAGCAATTGAATTAACACAATTTTGTTTAAAAATCTTGAAATGATTAAAAATTTTGCTAAAAATCAGTTAAAGTTTTTACCCTAGAAACTTCCTCCTCCGTTTGAAATGCTGAATCCTGTAATGATATTTTATCAGTCTGATTGGCAGAATCCTTCAACAATTTCTCATCAGTTTGATTTGCTGAGTCCTTCTCCAACTTTTTATCCGTTTGATTTTCAGAATTTATCATTTTCTTTTCTTCAGTTTGAGTAAAATTATTTTCAAATAATTTTTTCTCTTCTTTAATAATTTGTTCTTCTTCTGTTTGAACTCCAATTTCTTCGAATATTTTTGTCAAACCTCCTTCAATAATGTCATCCTTTGCTCCCTTTTCCAACATATCATCAACACAATCTACTTGCATTCCAAAATCTTTACAATCAAAAATATTCTCTGTTTGAGTACCAAAATTTTGATTATTCTTTTTTAAAATTTGTTGTTCATTTTCAGTTTGAACGTCAACCTCAACGAAAGTTATTTCATCATCTTTATTGAACTCATCAAGCGGAAGTAATAATTGAGAGTCAATTAAAGCAGAAATTGAAGGGCCTTTAAAATACAAAATTTTAGAAATATTTTATCACTAATTATAATTTAATACCTCTACTATTTTCTACATCTAAATACATTCCCTCCTCTTTTTCAAATAATGTAGGCATACTTTTCAATTCATTTAATTTATGCTCCAATTCTCCTCTTTGCACTTCACTTTCCGTATAACAAAAAGACAAATCTTCAAGCTTCTTTTCATTTGCGGCAATAGATGATCGAAGTTCTGATCTTTCACGCGATAATTCTTGAAGATTAAAATCTAATTCTCCAATCCGCAATTTTAAACTTTTATTTTCTTGGGCCAAACGCTCTAAAAAATTATCTTTAAAAGAATTTTATTCATCAAAAGAATAACCAGAATCACAACGACGCTCCTCCATTTCATATGATAATTTAGTTAAATGAGCTTCTTTTTCTTGCAAACATTTCTTAAAAACAAATTTTAAAATTGTTTTAAAAATTTTCAAAAAAACCTTTAAGCCAGCAATAACTTCATTATCTTTAGAAAAACTCGATTGTTTCTAAAAAAGATTTAGATTATATTTCGAATAAAAGAAACTAAAACCATAGTTCCACCATATTTTGGCGGAGGAGATTTTGGCGATCTTGGGGATATTGCGCTATCCAATGATTCTAAAGTAAAAATAAATTAGAAAAAGAATAAAATATACAATGACCAAAAAATAAAAAAATCGCAAAAAATACCCATGCTTCCTCGCCAAGAACTAGCACCAGCATTTGTATATCCATCCAATCCCCCACGTCTTTCTAATCTTAATTTTGAAGCTGTTGTTTGTTTTGGGGCAATTTTGGGTGGAAGAGCAGATTCTGTACGAGTTGCCCGTTTCACTTGATCAGCAGGAAGAAAAACAGCATATTTTGGATAACATTTGAAATATTGAATACTCTAAAAACATTTTGAAGAAAATTTGGGGTCACTATAGTACGTGGGAGCATGAACTTATGTGCAAAATATATACCCTTCGATTCCTCTCGACGAGCTGAGTTCGAAATATGTAATAATCTTTTCTAGGAGAAGATTTTGATAGATATAAATTTTGTGAATTTTTCGTTTGATAACCAAAAATTTTACGAGGGGTGCTTATAATTTTGGAATAGTAATAAATTAAGTAAATTAGCATAATAAATGAAATAATCTAGGCGAGAACCCAGCTCGTAGGGAGGAATCAAATGGTATATATTTTTACAATTAATTTATGCTCATGCTCCAGTACAGCAGAAACTAATTAACTTAAAAAATTCATACATTAAATTCCCCACTAGAATTACCAACAGGTTTATCTAACAAAATACCAGCATATACTTGTCCATTAATTGTATTTAAAAATTTTATTTTTCCGCAGCGTCCATCATTTGTATTTACTCGATCACCAATATCATAACTAAAATATTTTTAAATTCAAAAAGAGTAAAAATATTTCTACCCATATTCTATCGCAAAAGGTGAATGATCTCGTAATCCTCCAACTTGTGAGGCAGCAATTGAAGGAGCGAAAGAACTTGCAATTGAATTTGTTGGTGATGGGACTCTTCGATGTTGTTGTGATCTTTGAGCTAATGGAGATTGTATTGCCGACTGATTATTTAATTTAATTAAGTTATTAGGACGACAAAAAACTCCAAATTTATCTTGACACTGTGAAAAGGAAAATTATTTTAAATTTTATTTATAAACGGAATTTCAAGAAAATCACGTTTTTATAGATAAAATTAAAAAAACCTTGAAATAAACCCGTCCATCAACACTTCCATTATTTTTTCCTTCAGGTCTTTCCAAAATAACACCAATCCAAATTCCAGATTGGAAATCTGTTGGCCCAACAAAAGCAACTACACCGGCACGGCCACCAGTCTTCATTTTAACTTGGTCGCCTAATTTGAAATTTTCATTGTTTGTAGCTTCGGAGATTGCAGAATGTAGAGAATCTTTGCCTAAAAATTTAAAATTGTATTCCAAAAATAATTATGAAATTCTGAATTTACTTACTTTGTGCCTGCTTCATCAAATAAGAATAAATGTAGATAAATTAAATATAAACACAAAATAAGACTTTTGACTAACAAACACACCTAAAAATCCAAAAAAAATGTTTAAATTTTAAATAATAACTAGATATGCAACATTTAACAAAATAAATTAACAACTCTCGGAAATAGTGAAACGTTGGAGACTGAATCGGCGATACTGAATCGTCCTTTCCGAAAAAAAAACACATCGCCAGAAAAAATGACATTTAATCCATACTTGCGAAACGATTTTTTGAATACTTTTTATCTCTGCTTTCCATAATGTTTCTCTCCAGGTACAACAGGACATTACGACAATTAGACAATTGTCTATTGGACAGAGGACTATAGGACAGTCTAACCATTGGACAAGAGTTATTGTTAAGAGATTAATTGAGCAATACGTTTTTGATTGACCTTTTTCAAAGTGGGTTCGGACACCTCTTATGGCTCTATTAATTTAGTAATACTTTGGAAGTTATTTACCTTTTTTCCATTCAATTTTTTGGGACACGTCCAAGTAACCTGGAATATTTCTGGACCTGAACAATTTTGAACCAATCTCTTTAGCTTGATGAGAGGAATCGTTTAATACTAAATTTGGTAAGATTCGGGAATTTTGAAGCAGTTTATGGCTTTGGAGCGGGACAAAAAGTTTACCCAACAAGGATTAAGCTTCATAATTCTGTTCAGAATCAACAAATATAAACAAACATTGTATCATTCGACCCAGCTCGAAGAGCTCCTTCGATTATATATAATAAATAATATATAAAAACAAAAAAGCTCATAATAGTTAAAGAAATATGGGAAAAAAGGGAGGGAGGGGGCAACTCCCAAATTATTACCTTAATTTTTTCAACTTTGCAAAATTATTTATTCCGGATATATCTAAATATTTTGTTTTTAATAACTAGTTAATTTTTACATAATCATTTGGGTTTTAATTTTCTCTTATAAATTCAATTCTAAAAATTTTGAAAGTTGCGGAAATAATTATTCCGAGTTTTTTATCCTGTTTTATAAAAAATATATAATTTTAAATTATATTTATGTAACACTTCAATTAAAAAAACAAAAAAAAACAAATTATTATTTATGAATTTATAAATCCTGAATTTATTTTAACGTGTTAATTATTTAATTGTTAAGCTAAGGCCTAATTTTATTTGATTTTTATATTTGGAAATTTTATAGAGATTGGCCTAAATTTAGATAAAAATGGCATTTTTCAGTTTCCTTGATTAAAGCCTAAAGAATATGTATCTTCAACCAAAATCAAAGTTTTTTTCAAATTTCCAATCTCTATAAATTTTATTAAATATTCTCGAAAACAGTTTTTATTTCTATTCCCAATTTCAAGCAACATTAAAAAGAAATAAATGTTTAATGCCGCTTAATTCGATCCAATTCCTTATTTTTTCCTTAAAAATACCAACTTTTTTTGTAATCCTTTTTAGTCTGGCCAATGCCCATCCTTCCCGATCTTGTCTATCCAAAAAATTAAAGTGGGCCGTGAGAAAAGCACAAAAAAACAAGATTCTTTTTTTGCTTACATGAAAATAAAACATTTTCTTCTTCTCATCTTCCAAAAACCCCAAAAAGATGCCGCCTTGACTTATCCCGAAAATTGGCCAATTTTCGCGCAATTTTCCCCCCATCCTTTTCTACTGTCTCCAAAATCATTTTACATTTTCTATCATTTTAAGGTTCATTTTTCATTTCGTTTTTTATTTACCTTTTTGATTAAGCCGCCGACTCTTTTAAATTACCCAATCAAATAAAAAAAGAATATATTTTTTAATTGTTATTTTATTTGAAAAATTAATTTTTATTTTATTTACATATAATTTTTTACCAGAAGTTTTTAAACTTTTACTTTCTAATCCATCTGGGCCCGTAGTAAAAAAACTCGGTTTCTGGTTAAACCAACCGGCGATTTTTAACGTAGTATGAACAGTCGTCTATAGATTTATCAGTACCATTTGGCTACCTAACGATGGTTACGTGACCATGGTTAAACAACCACCGTTATTTACCTAACTCAGTTTTTATATTATGTGCCCTGAAAGGAAGTGAGGGCCGAAGAACGAGAGATAATTTATCATTTCTTGAAAAGTTTATTTCCAAATTTGTTTTTCTAAATTTTTAATTTTACATCCTTTTTTGTTATTTTGTGAACCAACCAACTACAAATCACTAATATTTTATTACATGTCTAGTCTACCTTTATTTTAAGCATTAAATCAACCTAAAAATTGCTGACTATCTCTAATTTACGAGCTGAGAAGGTGTAAAAAATACTTTTAAAAAATGTTGCAAAATAACAACCAATTATTTATTGAAGGAATTTATTTTTGTTTAGTAGACAGCGGCGGGATAGAAAGGAACGGTTTTAAAGAATAATTTAAAACCTTGAACAGTTAAAATTTAAAAAAGAAAACTTTTTTTCCTTTGCCAAGTTTTTAATATTTGTGCTGCGCAAGAAAAGAGCAAACTAGGCAAAATATAGGTAGAAAAAATATATTTCCAAACAATAATTTGAAAAAAAGTTGAATAATAATTACCTAATATTTTTTTACTTTTTTTATTAAAATTGGCCATCTTTCTTTTAATAAAAATAAAAATATTAAAAGTTTTTTTCCTTTTAAAATATCGGCATAATCTCTTTTATTTATAAAACAATTGAGTGGGGGAAACATTAAAAGTTTTTAGAGAAATAATTACATAATTTGCCCGCCCAAAAAGAGTATAAATTCTTTTTTTATTCTTTTGTCCATTTCTATATTATTCCTTTTTTCGGTCTCGATATCTTCTTTTTATCAAAAATGTTTTTTTTGTTTATCTAATTTTCTCAATCAATTCCTTACTCATGATTAATTCCCAAAGCCAGGGATGGATTGAAACAACAATCCTCCCCCCCCTACTGCACGTTTAAATTCCCCTCCTTCGATTACGGATGGGTTGAAATATTAATTTGAAATATAATTGAGAAAATACAGTAACTAATTCACACAATTTTAATTTTCATTCCTCCCTCAACTTGTTGAGAGTTTACCTTTATTTTTACTTGAAAATATTTTCTCTTTCTCCCTTTCTCGAGTTTTTTTTTTCGCAAATTTTTGATGAGATTAAGTGCCCCCTCTAGGATTAAGTGCACCTAAAAGGCGGTATATTTACTTTTTTTATTTTTATGGCTCTAGATTGCTGTGAACTTTAAAAAATAAAAAATAAATAGCAGGTAATTGGAATTCTCTCTTATATGTTCTAAAATAAGATTTTTTGATTTAAAATCATATAAATCTTCATCGTCTTCATACTCATTTATAGTTTTCAACAAATGGTAATTTTCAGTAAATTCGACAACGGCAAACCGAAAATTACCGAGTGCTTACTGTACTGTGCCGAATACCAAATAATTTAAATTTTAACTTTCCCTTAAATTTCCCCATTTTTTCCCTCTAAAAATAAAAATTGTGCCCTTTAATTTTTGCCTCATTTACCAAAAATATTTTTAATCCTTATATAAAAATAGTCAAAACAATGGAGATTTTCTGATTTTTAATTTTAAACGCGGAAAAAGAAAAAAAGAAGAAGCCAACAAAAACAGTTTTAAAGATTATCTTTATTTTTATTCCTTTTATTTGGAGCAAATCTTCTTTTTACCCATTCTTTTAACATTTAGCGCCTCAACAGGTGCGCCAAAATTCTTGGATTTTTTAAGGGCAATTTAAATATATTCCCCGGATATACAGTTTAATTTAAAATATTATTGTAATATTTTTCTTTTTTCTTTTTTATTGCGCAACATATCCACTAAATAGGCATTCCTTTCCATTCATTATTTTCCACTCAAAATTCAACAAAATAAAAATATCCCCCTTTTTTGCATAAAAAATTAAATTAATTAATGCGAATCGGTAAAAATTCCTTCATTTATTTCCGCCATGAGTGAATAAATAACTAAATGAGTGTGTTTAATCATGCACAAATAATCTACCGAAAATCAAAAGAGTATGCCGTGAATTTTAAAAATAAAGAGAGAATGACCGATTTTTGGTTATTTAGTAATTCTTAATTAATTTTGCATAAACTAAATTGTTTTTTTGAGTTGGGCCTATTTTGGTGCTTATAAAACAGTTAATTGTTTAGGAAGATAAAATTTTGGAATAATAATTCTCGTATCTTTATCCAAGTTTTCCAAAGATTTTTAGAATTTTTAAGCCAGAATTTCAGAAATTATAGCCAAAAATGTTGATTTCTCGAGGGTTATAAATTTAAAAATGTTTGATGAAAAATCGTGAAATTTTTGGGTAAGAGGGGGCAAGAATGTTAAAGAAGTTTGACATTGCCAAAATACCCCCAACACTTCTTTTTTAGTTTAAAAGAATTTTTTAAATTAATTTTAATTATTTACTCTCTTTTTACCTCTCAACTTCATCCAAATTTTTATTGCCTATTTAATAAAAAAAGCCAAAATAAATTATTTTTCTCTCCAATTAAATTTCTTTATCGGTCTCTCGATTAATAAGTCAAAACAAAGGAAAAAGTCGGCTAAAAATAAATAGTTAAAAAATCAAAAGGCATGGATTTTTATATCCCGAAAATGAATAAAAAAGGGAAGGGGGAGAGGGGGGGGGATAAATGGGTAAATAAATTGCGCGAATCCCTTTTCTAAAAATTTATGAAAACAAAAATTACCGTAAATACTCTGATATAAGTCCGGCTCTATTAGAAACCAACTCTCTAATATAATCCCACTCAAAGTGACCTATTGAAGAATATAAGCCCCAGGACTTCTAATTTATCAGAGAATTTAAGGTATTTTTTTGTTTTTATTTTCCGGAAAGTTCTCTTCTTTGTTTTCCTAATTTATTTATTTATTTTATAAAAAATTAATTTATAATGAGGTTGATCATATTTTTGCGCATTAAATTTTTTTTGAATTAACGGAAAAACTAAATGAGGGCAAAAGAAAAGAGTACCAAAAAAAATTTAATTCTAAACATGGAAAAAGCAATAAAAATTTTGTTTAGTAAAGAAAATAATGATGACAACGACCATTTTTGCTATTAAAAAATAAAAGAAAATATAAACAGAAGAAGAAGATTTTGGACAAAAAATTACATAAAAATTTAAGAAGAAAAGTGCGATTGGGCGAGAAAAAATATTTAAAAGAAAAATGCACTTTACGCGGCAGCCGCTCTTTCTAAAAATAAATGTGTAAATATTTTTAGAGTAAAAAAGGCAAATTGCGGCTTTTATTATTTCTGAATTGAACTCGATAAAATTTTTTGTTTTTTTTATTTGGGTTTATTGCACACGCGCAAAAAATTGATTCAGTTTTAGATAATAAAGTCAATTAAATTAAACTTTAAAGTTAAAGCCAATTTTAGCTTAGCTCGCGGTCCGAGTCCCGGAAATTTGGGCTCTAAGTAAAAAAGTCAATAAACTTCAAAATAACAGCTTTATCGGAAAGACAGATCTTAACGGAAGACAGGTTTAAAAAATAGGTGGCCAACAAAGAGATTATTTTTTATATTTAAACAGTTGGGGTTTGTCATAGTAAGCTTAGAAATAAGAATGGGATTTTCGAGTTCGGGACTTACGGCCAGTTGACGGTCTGGGTGAGTACTTGACTCTATTCCTTACCCGTATACTCAAATTGGTCCAAATTGTTTGGTTCGATTAAAAAGAATTTGGCAAAGAAATCCTATTCCTACCAGTAGCAGTTGGGCGAGCACGCAGCCCTAATCCTAATTTTGAACATCTACAGCAAGGCCAATTGAGCGCTGACCAAATACCCACAAATTATCTTCCAATTTTTTATTTTTTTCCGAACCTATGTCAAACCAAAAAATTATCGGTTCTTTAGTTCAGCTCCGAACTGATCAGAACCAAACTTTTGAGGACAATTTACCATTAATTCTTTTTAGACTTTCATTTCTTAAATCCATTTCGGCAATACACAAAATATTTTTAATAGTATTATTTTTATATACATACATATAAACACATTTCTGGATGTTATTTTAAGGAATTAAGGATAAAGTGTCGGCAATTTTACATCAAATTGTATTTACAAAAAATGTTTTCATTTATTCTCTAATAATAAATTATTTTAAGAGAATAAAAAATAATTCGGAAAGATTAAATAATATGGAGAGATTAATCATTTCCTCCACCAACTTTATTAACTTTAAATCAACATACATATGTACTATTTCTGTGTGGGCGGAGCTTATTGGAAGAGTTAACTCAAATTTGGTGAAAAGAGGATTTTAGCCCTCCCCCCTCTCTCCCCCTCCTTCCTTTTGTTTGCCTCTACTCAGCCTTTTCCTGTTACATGGCATCTACATCCTTCCCAATTTCCATTATTGGCAATTAGCAATAATTTAAAAATAAAATATTTATTTACAATTTCCAAATTCTTGAAATTAAATTTTAGCTTCTTCTTTACGTATTTGAAACCTTTATTTAACCTATTTATTCTTCAATTTTGACTAGATATTTCCTCACCCGTTGTTTTATATCCCCTCTTAACGCATTTTAGTCATTCTTCTCCTTATTTCCCTCAACATTTAAGCCCCGCCCCTTAACTTCCTTCTCAAAATTTTTTACCGTTTTTAGTGTTCATTTATTTAAGTTTATTCACTCACAAATATTTTTTAGTTAAAAATTTTTGGTCAACGAAGTAAATTAAAATAAAATCTTATTAAATACACACCAAAATATTTTAATTTTAAATAATAACTGCCACAAAATGGTAAAAATATTTTTTTATTTTTAAAATATTCCAAAAATCCCCCACAGATGTTCACTTATTGGCCGCCTGTTAAACATTGCTTTATATGCCCTCCAAATACTCATCATCATCATTATCACCCTTCTTCTTCATTACCCCTTCGTTGTGCCATTTCTTTGGGTGATTTGCCTGATCACATTTTTCTTCAAATTTTAAACGATCAAAAACAAATTGTTGGGAATTCTCATCATCATCAATCTTCTTCTTCTTCCTCCTCATCAACACAATCCTTTCCTCAATATAACAAAATAATGAAGAAAGCAACAATATTGAGTGATGAAAAATTAAATGAAGAATGGGAGGGAGATGATAATAGAATTGAAATTTTACAAAAGCGAACGGTAAAAATGTTTTTAAAAGATAGAAATTCCTTTTGGAGGGAAATTTTAAAAATTCTCGTTAAGGTCGCCTCGAGTCGAGGCGACATTCGTTACATTTTTTCGAGCTTGGGTTTTTTGAATTGAGGCGTTTTCGAGTTTTTCTAGTTTGATTTTCAAGGCAATAATTTGAGTTTATTTTTAGCTAAGAAGCTTCGGCTCGCTCAATCTTTCGAGTTTCGATTTAGCTAACCAGAATTCCTTAATTCTCTTGTATATTTTTATAATTTTGTTCAAATTTAGAGCCAAAAATCTGTTGGAACCCAAACAGGCAACAACAATTTTCCCTTCAAAATTGAGGAAGAAGAAGTTGAAGAAGATGAAGAAGATTGCAAAATTATTTGTGCACAAATAGCTCAATCCCTCTTAGACATTGCAGATCGTTGGGCACAACAACAACAAGAAATTCCGACAAAATCTTTTTGGTTGTTTGGTTGGTTAAAAATGAAAGTTTTTAGATTATTTGGATAATTATCTCTCCATAATTCTCTCCATCTTCCTTATCACAATTTATTTTTTTCTTTAATATTTCCCTTCGGTATTTCTACAAAATTAATGCTTTATTATCGCCTTTTCAGGATTACCTACTATATTTATTTGCCATTATAATTTTATAATGTTTTTTTCAAAATTAATTTACTTTATTTAACAATTACATATGTGCAATATTCATATACTTATTTTTCACATTTCCCCTCTTTTAATTTTAATTATTTTCACTTATTTTCTTTATTTTTAATAAATTATTTATTAAAATTTTGTTTAAATTTTTGGATTTAATTTTCATAAAATTATTTTTAATTCTTCTATTCCTAACCTCTAAAGAGTACATACATATTACTACGGTCATTTTATTGTTTAATATTTGCTAAGGCCAAGTGTTTCGACAATATTTAAAAAGCGACAATGAATGAACATGCTTTCCAAAATTCTTTTTAAAGTTGCCGTTCTACTTATTTACACTCTTTTTGGGGGCGCTTTTTCCCACACATCCACAAAAGACATACAAAAACACGATGCTGATATATTTTTAGAGAATACCCCTCTCCTCTCCTTTAAAAGGAGTCACAATCCCTCAAGGCCATTCCTTGGTTCCAAGTTTTACTAGCAACTACTACTAACTACTCATCTCGCCCACCACAACATATCAATGAAAATTAGTTTTGTGTGTGCTTTGTTTTCCTCTTCATTTCCATCTGACCGTTCTTCGTTTTTCTTCTTTTTGTGACTATCGCATTTTTGAGTTTTTGGTGGTGGTGAGGGTGTACCGACACTTGCGGAACGACATTTGCGGATCGACAATTGCGGATTGAATTTTGCGGAACGACATAAGCGGACCCGACATTTGCGGATTAACATATGCGGACCGACTTTTGCGGACCGACAGATGCGGATTAACATTTGCGGATCCGACATTTGCGGACCTGGTAGTCGTTTAAAAAAATAAAGGATTTTCTAATTTTTCGGACTTAAAAATATTTCTTTGGATCGGGTTGCGTGTCGAAAATGTCAGGGTACCGGGTCTGGTCGGTGAAAATGTTAAACCAGCCTACAATTTTGGGAATAGACCTGCTTCTTGTTCGAATTCGAAAATCTTCGAAGACACGGGCCCAAGGCGATCTCAATATTCAGGACGAAACTTTTACAAGAGTAAAGGATTTTTATTTTCTTAAAAAATTACCAGGTCCGCAAATGTCGGATCCGCTAATGTTAATCCGCATCTGTCGGTCCGCAAAAGTCGATCCGCTTCTGTCGGTCCGCAAATGTCGGGTCCGCTTATGTCGTTCTGCAAAATTCAATCCGCAACTGTCGATCCGCAAATGTCGTTCCGCAAGTGTCGGGTAACCGTGGTGAGGACTCTTTCTTTGAGCAATTATTTATATGTTTATACATATCCGCCTCGAAGAAGAAGATTCCAAATGAGTGAATTGAGGAAATAAACTAAACTTGAATGGATGGCTGGTTAGTTAAAAGAGAGGAACAACAACTATTTATTTGTTCATTTAACCAAAATCTAATAAAATTTTGACAAAAGATTTGTCGTGAATGAACCAGATTTTAATATTCCCCCCCCCTCCCTCCTTCCCCCCCCCCTCTCCTTCTTCCAATCTCCACACTTTTGTATTATTTTACAAATGAAAAATATGAAGGAGTTAATAGCTTACTGAAAACCCCCAAAAATTAAAAATATAAAAATCTTTTTTTGTTATTTTTTCCAATTAATTCGACCTTAAATTAAATTTTTTCATTCTGGAAGAAGAATAATATGTTGAAGAATATTCGAGAGAGGAATTAGGGGGGGGGGGGGGTGAAGGGAGATTAATTTGGTAGAGAGAAGATTAATTTAACTAGAAGATTTTTTTATTGAGTATAGAGGATTTGAATGGTGACAGGGACAGGGAGGGGGGGGATTACCTTTCTAAAATAATTAGGTTGGCAAACACTTCACTTAATATTTCCCCCTTCCCTTCCCAAAATTGGCCAACCACCACCTAAAAAATTATTATTTTTTTCTTTCCTCAATTCACAGCTTCGCGCATTGTTTGGTTTGGTCAATGTCACTTAACCACAGCATCACCCTCCGTATATTTAATTTTAATTTTGTCGTATTAATTCGTGTAATAATTTAGGTATTTTATAGGAAGGATATTTAGCTAATTGTACGGCAAAGACAATTAAATTAATGTAAAATTAAGAATCTAGTGAATATTTTCATAACAGGGGTGTGCCGAAACTGATTTTGAAAAGCGAAAGACAAAACCAAAAAAGGCAAAAATTCGGGAAAGGTGGCAAACCTTTGATACATAGGTAAAAATATCAATTAAATGTTTGTAAATTAAATTAAAATACAATCAAATAATCTTGTTCCAATATTGCCATATTTTAATTTTTTTTCAAGAGATTAAATTAATTTCTTCTTGAATTAAAAAAAGCACTCCTATTCCCTTTCACCTCCTACTCAACACTTCCTCCCCCCCCCCTCTTCTTTTAATTTCCGGATTAATAATCTAAACAATTCACTCTTCCCCTCCCCCCTCCATTGAAATAGAGATTAATAAAGTAAAGGATTTATTTTTATTAACTAGCAAAAAAGAGTGAACAAGCTAGGGACAAGAAATTGGAAAATCTACATATCTCTCTCATATAACAGAATTTTAATACATAAATCTCTCTCACAAAAAAAAGAGAACAATAATTAAAACAATTGGTGCCTCAACCTGTAAATTGTCAAAAAGTAATTATTAAAAAAACATTTTTTTCTAACAATTTCCCCCAAATTTTATAGAAAAAAGTTGAAAAAGTGACAACTAAAAGATGTGAAATTTGAGAGATTTTTTCAATAAAAAAATTCAATCACTACGCAACAAATAAATAAATAATTAGTAATTAATTGAATGAATGATGCTGAAAGGTTTTGCTGAAATTGGATTTTCTTGCGTGTTTTTCCTTTCTTCAATAGGGCAGTGTACTATCCAAGACCTATCCAACTCGAAATCAGGAGGTTAACTGTTTGTACATTGAAATGTCTTCATTCCTTCCTGAAAACTTTGCAAATTTAATATTTTCTTCTATTTAAAGTGTAAATAAAAAAATATTTTCTTTCCTTTCCTTCCCTCCTCGAACCCTATAAATTTCAATTTATATAACGACCAAATAAATTTCTTTTTTAGCGGCCATAAATTTAACGAAACAAAGGGAAAATGAAAAATGTGAATGTCTTTTTTTATATTTAATTGTTAAATATAAACTGTCAGTTTTTGCATGCAAATTCCTTTATTTTCTTTAAATAAAAAATTTAAAATTAATCCAATTTGGGCATCCTTTTAAATAATTTTTAAGAATTAAAAAATGTAAAATCTTTTTCTAAAATAAGAACGTTCACAAAAATAGTTAAGTATTTAAAAAATCCTTTTTCTTTAATGACCACCCAAGAACAATAACTAAAAAAATATATATTAATTAATACTTGTCAATATAGAAAAGGTTAAAGAAAAAAGTTTAAATTGAGAAAAAGGGAGAGAAAATTGATGAGTTGTTTTACCTCCAAATTTGGGCATTTAGAAAAAAGGACATCAAAGTTTGGAAGGAAATTATATGACACATTTGAGTGAAAAAAAATAACAAATTTTTTTATTGAAAAATAAACAAGATTTTTTTATTATCTTTGGATTAGGGCTGGACACACCTAAAAAATGCGGATAGTTTTTTTTAATTCGTTTCAATCCCATCTTTGGATAAAAATTTAATATAAAAATAATGACAAGTCCCTCAAATTAAGCTAAGCCTGAATAAATTCCTTCGCGAAGAACATATCTTTATAAATAAATTAATTAATAATTTCCGTCCAATAATAATTTAGAAAGATAAGAATCACAATAAAAAAACAAATCAGTTAATAAACAAACAAATAAATTGAAAGTTTTTTCCATTATTTATTAAAACTCTCTCCTATTTTCGCGCAATTCTTCATCTAAATACTTTCCTTTCCTCAAGCTTATAATCTGTATTTAGAAAATATTAGTTTTGACCATATGTTGTTTGTTGTTAAACACAATTGTTTTTTTTTCTAAAAAGTTTAATATTTTTATTTATTTTCATCTCCTTCCCTTCCCTTTCTTAAACTATTAAATATACACAAAAAATATTTTCATTGTTTGCGCGAATATTTTTAAGGAAAGAAATTGAGAAGGGAAGAGATTTTTGTTGATTAGGGAGAGAGAGGATGAGGGGGTTAGGAGGAAGGAAGTTATTTGTTTTGGGGGATGATGGATGGATTGATATGTAGAGGAAGGATTGAATAGTTTATTATTATTATTTTTAGTCTTCAAAATTGGCACCTGCAGTAAATTCTCCAAAATAAATGAGAAAATTGGATTTACTTAAATAGTCAACAAAAAAGTTTAGTTAAAAATTGTTGAACTGATTGGCAGGTTTACAATTAAAAAAGAAGAAGAAGAACAATGAAAAGCATGTAAAATGAGAAGATAAAGTGCCAATTAAATATACAATACTAGTTTTTAAACGAGAAAAGTTTTTATGGGGAATTATAAAAATTTTAGTGAGAGAAAGACTCAATTTTTAGAATAATAAAAAACAAAAAAAAAATTAAGTAAAAGTTTTAGTCTTTCAATTTTTCTAAACACACATACGGAGAGGAGGGGGGGGGGGAGGGGGGTAGGTCAACGGGTTACCCGAAACCAGGGCTTTTTTCTACCCAAACCTGATCCAGTACTTTCTTTCCCTACCTCCTCCGTTACATCCTCCCCCAACTCTTACCCTATAAAAATTCTTTTTTAAGAATTAAAATTAACCAATTAACGCTCGAAGAATAAAAAAAGGGGAGAGGGGGTAGGAGAGGGTGGAGGGAGGTGGATATTGTTTTTCACAACCATCTGTTTTCGCTGTTGATTTAATAGTAATAAATCCACCTGTTTTTATTTAATTATTATAATCCCCTTACCCGCAATTTA